TATAATTTTTTGGTGAGGATGGAGAAGAAGGTTTGAATCTTTCAGTAAAGAGTGAACTAAAAAAAATGTGACAAATGCATTTAGCTGATGAAGAGAAGTATGATGAGTATATGGATTAAAATTAATATGTGAATGGTAATTTCTCATTCAGATGTGAAAAATTAGGTAAATGAGTTTATTTGTAACATTACGTGAAATACGTGGTCTACAGCTTGTCCATTGGTGATGTCGACTTTTTGCCTCTCTCCTGACTTCTCAAAGAATTTCTCCTCTAATATATGATGAAAAATTCAGTGCAGTGAAGATACAGTAGAGCTAGATACAGCTAAGAATAAGTGAAATAACTGTTTTTCCTATCTTTTTTCTCTTTGTGACAATTCTTAGCTTTATGATTCATCTTTAGAAGATTGTGAATTCCAACCTAATTTTCCCTACAGTATCCGGCATCCCTCTCCTGGGCTACCTTTTTCTGTTGCCTAGGCTTTTGTGCTCAGGAAATATCAACGAAACAATTTTAGAGGATTAATCTGGTACATAAGTAAACATTGTATGCATTCAAACCAAATAGCATAATGATTTTAGGATTATTTAGTATTTTGTTTATTACTGACTTTTGGTTTTTGCATTCAGGTAGTATCTGTTAGACAGTATTCTTAGCTCTATTCCTTGTCCCACAGTTTTATGCTCTATTCCAAATTGATTTTTGGTGGCAGTTACATTTTTCTTACAGCACTTATTACCTTTAGTCCAAAAATGACTTGAATCTTCACCATTTTTGCCCTCAAACTGAGCCAGTCATCCATCCATTCATCTGTCCATCCATTCAGTACATACGGTGAGCAGGACTCAATGCCTGCTTTCAAGTGGCCTGATAGTCTGCAAGAGTAGTCAGACAAGTAAGTGGCTGCAGTGCATTGTGGTGATTGCTGGGACAGGGCTACTTTCAGCTAGCTTTGGGAGAATATAAGAGGGTCACCAAACTTAATCTTGAGGAATCTGAGTTTTTGAGAAGAGGAAGACCTAAGCTGAGGTCTGAAGAAATTGTATAAACTAAGCAAGAAGAGAGTCAGAGAAAGCATGTTCTGCGTACCAAAACCAACAGAGTCTGTTTAAATACTGATTAGAAAAGCAAACAGAAGGAAGTGGACAGTTGCTCTGGAATCTGGGTGGGTTCCTTTTCTTCTTTATTCTGATTTGGAGACAGCAGCATTTTCAAGTCAGACAAACTGAGGTTTGAACCTTCACTTGTGAAGCATCTCCTAATAGCCCTATTTAAAATAGGAGGCCTCTCTTTCCATTTGCTGTTTCCCTTTGCCACTTCATTTTTCTCCAAATATTTATCACCGTATGATATGCTTTGTATTTTACTTGTATATTTGTTCATTGCTTGTCTCTCTCCCAATTGTAAATGTAGTGTGAACAGGGATTTTTTTTGACCGTTTTATTCACCACTATAGTATCAGAAACAGCATCTGGCAAAAAGATGTTCAGTAAATTTTTGTTGAAGAAATAAATCTTGGTTCCCATCTATTACTTGGTTATATGGCTTTCGGCAATTTACATAATCACTTGAAGCCTTGATTTCCTCTTTGGTTACGTGGGGATAATATCTACATAAAGGAGTAAATGAGATAGTTTGTGTGAAATAGTCAGCATAATAAGTGTCTACAACTCTTCATATGAAATTTTTGTGGCCCAGATGTAGTTTGGAACTCAGAATTCTTCATATTTCAGAAGGGGAATAAGGAGCATATATTATACGTGACATAATGTCTTAGCAGAGTCTGGTAAGCAGCCCATAACAAATAGTCACATTTCTGCAGCAGAAGGTACACATACTCACACTTGAATGTGATAAATGAAGATTCTGTAGCAGCTTCACATATGTTCAGGTCAAATTTTGCCTCTGAAGATTTTCAAACAGGTTTTTTAAGTGAAATTAGTTATAGAATAACTTTCATTTTTCAGAACTTTATGGATAGTGAAACATGGATATAGGATTGTGGACATGTGCCGGACACACAGTAGGTGTTCTGTAAACATCCCTCTTCCCTTTTTTCCTGTCTTACAGTTTCTTAACATTTCAGGAGAATGAGGCTACAAAGGCAGCGATCATTCCCTCTTTCGTTCCCTAATAGATCTCAGTTGCCTTGGGACATAGTTGGTGCCCAGTAAATAGTATTGACTAAATAAATGTTGTCTTGTGTTTATGAAATAAAATTGACTTGTGTTAGTATTTATTAAGTATCTAAAGTAGAAAAATCTGATTTTAATTATTATTGCTATGAAGAAGACTGCATAACAGATTTTTGTTGATGTGACTATAAAAAAATTCTTTAATCTTAACAATGTGTTCTCTTGTTTTTCCTGTACATATAACAAATGATGAATGCTTTCATTATGAAAGAGAGCTAAGGTTCATTTATTCCATAAACATTTACTGAGAATCTATTAAGTACAAGGCACTGTGATGGCTAATAGGCTTAGTAGTGAAAAAAGCTGAATCTTGTCTCTTTTGTTTGAAAACTTCAAGTCAGCCTTTGCAGCTCTTTTAACTGTCAGTGAACAATTGTGCCTCAGATCCTTTTTCCTCTTACTACCTCTATCATCAAGCCACTCAAATGGAACACATCTAAAGTCATAAAGAACTAGACAAAAAAAAAATATTTAAAATGCACCTGGATTTTAGTGAAGGAAAATTATTAGGTCATGGGAAAATGTTTGTATCCAAAAGAATTAACGTTCTCTGCTCCATTCAAAGTATTTCTTTTCCTTACATACTTCAAAGACTCAGGGCTTAAATGTTACATCTTTAGGGTTATAAACTATATGAGTAATCTTTAAGAGTATGTTCATCATAATGAAAATCTGTAACAAATAATTTTGAGTCCCATGATGTATTTTGTTATGAGATTTTATCTTTCAGAGAATGACACAAATGAATTCTTTTTAGCATTGCCTAACTGAATTAACTTGCCTTGACATTTAAGCCATAGGGTACTGTAATTGTTTTACATGTACTAACCTGTTGCTTTGATATTTGGTTAGGCTTACGTTATGCAACAACAAAACTCTTGGAATGCAATGCATATTCATCCTCAGCTGCAACATACTTGTGAGGAGTTTTGGAGTTTTTTAATATGCTTAAGAGTCCTATAAAATTATTCTTACTCTCTCATTTTAGTTACAGTGTGTTCTCTGTCCTTTACCCACAATTGTTATGAGCTTTGCTTTGCCTCTCTGTAGTTGTGATAAATTGCACCAAGGACATTCTCATGGCTAATTCTTGGACTGAGAGAGGGTGGAAGAATGGTCTGTGGTTGAAAAAGAGAATGAGGCAATAACCCTTAACAGATAAACTATTATTTGATAATGAGAAAACAATCCACAGGCGGTTCTTTATGTTATTCTAATAAATGAAAATTGCAGATATTACTCAAAGTTCTTCCTTGAAACGTACATTATAATGTAACACTCTCTTGTTTACAGCATAAACAAATGTAAAAATTACTATGAAGTACTTGGAGTTACCAAAGATGCTGGTGATGAAGATTTGAAAAAAGCTTATAGAAAGCTTGCTTTGAAGTTTCATCCAGACAAAAACCATGCACCTGGAGCAACAGATGCTTTTAAAAGTAAAGTAAACCTTTTAAAGCAATTTCCTAAGCTCTTTTTAGAATCTACTTTACAATGTTTAAGAATAGTAAAAATCTGCCTATAGATTGGTACATTTAGAAGCCAGCATAAGCAAGGGTCCTCAAAATTCTTTAAAGCTTCACTGTTAACTTGTTATACCAAGAGCCAAACAAATGCTGTTTGGATTCACAAAAGCAGCATATCAGTTTTGGCAAAGTTCTAAATAGATTGTCTAGATACCCAAGCATGCTTTCTAGTTTACCTCAGCCAAGCATGCTTTCTAAGTTTACCACACATGCGTAGTGTGATGACTATGCATGAGCTTCTAATGTATTACCAGCTGGTTCTAAAAGAACTAAAAGCAAAATATACTTTCTGTGAGTTTTTAAGATATTAGAGATTGTCTAGAATTGGAAAATCACTTGGAATCACTATCTGTCCAGTGTTCTTTTATTTTTATTAACTGTAGCCAGTTTTTGCACTTTTTAAATGTAGTTCTAACTAATGTGATTTTTTTTTTCCTAAGAAATGTTTCTTTCCTCTTGGCTGCTTTTCATGTTTCTTTGTTTTCTTTCTTATTGTTTCAGCTTTTTTGAAAATTTACTAAATAGGTGTCAGAGAACTGATTTTATAATTTCATGTTACATATGATTTATTCATAATAGTTAACTTCTGATTCATAGGAAAATGCTTAAATTTGTGATTGTTCTTGTGAATTTGGCATTCATAGAGCCACTGTATGATATTTACAGTGAAATGCTGGGGTTTTGTAATAACAGGAAAGAGATACTCATTTTTTAAATTTTCCTAAGAGACAGATGACTCAATTAGTCTTTCATAAAAATACTGTTAAAATTGTTTCCAAAACAGTTTTATTTCTTAAAGGAAGTTACCAGGCAAAATACATTTGGGGATTATTAATATATTCCAATAAAAACAGCTGCCAAAGTGATGCTGATGAAAGTAAAATGTAACTGTGACGGTGAGAGCCTTCTCTGTTTGCTTCCTTAAATTAAAAGTATTTTGCATGTTGAAAGTACAGGAAAAGCTTCTTTGCTCAAAAACACTAACTTTAGCACATATTCCCCCCAAAGTTAAAAAACTTTTTTCACATTATGAATTAAAGTCATTTAATTTATTTTTTTGTTTTTATAAAAACATTTGGCAATGAGTTATTTTCATGTTTGTGATCTGTTAGATGATTTCAGTATTAATTGTTCATCAATGTTAAGAACAATAAACTGCCTCTTTCTTCCATTTCTGTACTGAAGTCATATTAGCATTATTGGTCTTGGAATAACAGTAAGTGGATCTACCGGTATTTTTACAGCTTATGTTGCATTTGGAAGAGGTGAGCCACATAAATGTCACCCACACTCCCAGAGGAGTTTTACAAAGGTGATTTTACTTTGGTGTGATACATTTCAGAGTCTAATATTACAATTTGCAAAACTAGAATCTTAATATTTATCAACATACTGGGTGGTGATTCATCTCTAGAGGGAAGGCTCACATTATTCAATACACAGGAGATTATCTCTATATCAAAATACCAGTTTATTAATTCCAAAGAGGATCATAATAAGGAGGTGGTTGATGAACCCATTTTTCATTGAGTGGAAACTACACAGCAAATCCAGATTGTAAGCCACAGATGCTTGGTGAGCAAAGGTAGTTAATTAGGAAATATTACTGCTAGTGTCATCACATGGAAATGGCAGGTTCCATTCATTCAGCATGCAAAATCTTTTCATTACCTTCTGAATCATCTTATTTTATTTTTAACCAATTGATCTTAACTACTGTGTTTGAGATACAAGCTGTTTATTCTAAGCAAAGACTATAGTTTTTTGTTGTTGTTGTTTGTATAAGAGGTAAGTATAGATTTACTGCTCTGTAATTGCCAAAACACTTCTTACAGAAGATGGGAACCACTTGTTTTTTTATTTCCTATAAGAACAAAAAGAGAGGAGGTTATTGGTTTAAGGTAGGTTATTGGTTTAAATTAGATAGAAGAGATATTTTCATTTGTGTCTTTTGTAAAGCTTCAAAAGCAACAGATTACTATCAGAGAGGGTAGACTAAATTAACTCTTAAGTTTATGTGGCTCTTTGTTCTGTGGTTAGGTTTGTGAGTTTCTCAAAGAAGGGAATATTTTATTTACATCTAGAGAGTGACTTGCATAGTATATATAAACATACCTTAAAAAATTTTGAATGAAATGGATCCTTTTCCTTCTCTCTGATGTGGATATCTTCAAAACATACGCAGTCTACATCGTCTTCAAAGACTCTCAAGTATTTCAGAGACTATTTGAATAGTACCCATGCCTGTTGAAATATATATGAATATAATAACAAGGGCCATGGATTAACTGTTTATGTGTTTTCTTGATAAATAATGATGGATTGGATGCTATTGTCTGCACTAAGTCTAGTAGTTCAGTATTCTTAACATCTAGAATGAATCTCTAAGAACAAAGAGGGTTCTACCCTATGGGCTAGTTCTTGTAGAGAAATATGTAAGAAAATATAAGATAACTTCTACTCAAAGAATTTGTAATTTACAAAGTGGGGACAAGTCTTACATAGAACATTTGGAAAAACAGTAAAACCTAACATTTGACAAGCATTTTATATGTTTTCATTCCTGTATTTTCATTCCTGTATTTTAAATTTAAAAATCTTGTGAAATAGTCAGGAACCAATTTCATCATTTCACAAATAAGAAAATTGATGTTCAGAGAGATTAACTGATTTACCTGGGATATCTCAGAAGATAGAATGTAGCTGAGTTCAGAACAAAGATGTCCAAAGAAAAGTCAGAAGGATAAAATAGAATTTTAATCAAACTAATTGGAGAAGCCTTCATATAATAGGCAAGAATTAAGAGTTTTCTCAAGATGGGTATGATTTTTATGGTTAGAGAAGACAGAAGATGGCAGAAATTTGGGTATGAGAATGAGAGAGGTGATTTAAAAATCAGTGAGGACTTCCACTTTACGGAAGATGGAAGAGATTTACTTTTCTCTGTTCCTCACATTCAAGTGTAACTGAATATTAGATAAAAACAAAGCAAACTTAAGAGAATGGAAAGGCAAAGGGAAGAAGGTAGACCAGCTAGGGACCGTGGGATCCAAAGAACAACATGGCAGTTGTTTGGGATTTCACTTTCCTTTTATCTCCTAGACTGGATTCTGGAGAAGCAGAACACCCAGAAATACCAATGAACGCAAACGCTTCCCGAGAAAAGCCTGCTCTTTCTAGCCAAACAACCAGGAAAAGGGCAACCTAGCAAGGCAAAACTTTTAAGCAGTAGCCATTCTACTCTACCCAAATAACACAGAAAAAACTGGGGCCACACCTACACCCCCACCAGCAGAGGCTAAGTAGAGAACCTAGACTGTCACCCTCTCCAGGCTATAATGAGATGCCCTCATCTCCCCACTGGGGTAATAACACAGAAGATTGAGTAGGGAGCTGGTACTTCCACTTCTGCCTGGCAGTAACAAGGTATCCCTTTCTCTCCCCTCCTTGGGTAGTGCCATAAGTGGGCTGGTGAGACAGTCAGGACTTTTACTATCATCCAGAGGTAAACGTACCATATCCTCGTGTTGCCATTAAAGCCTAGGGAGCCATAATGAGGCACCCCTTCTCTTTCCAACCAAGGAGATACCAGTGGGAGCTTGACTGGGGACTGGAAATCTCATCCCTGCCCATCAGTAATGAGGAGCCTCTCCTTTCAGATGTCATCAGAGGCCAAGGGGGAAACCTCAACTTCTCCTCCCACCTGGGAATAACAAGGTGGTATTCTCTCTTCCTGCACCATGTAGGACCATTTAAAAAGAAGCTTTAGATAAGATCCAGTCTCATAAAACTTCAAATGATCACATTTCAGTTGAAAATCACTTGTCATACTAAGAACCAAGAAAACTTCAAGCTGAATTTAAAAATTCAATCAACAGATATGCACATAAAAATGACAGAAAAGTTAAAATTGTCTAACAAATATTTTAAAGTGTCCATCATAAAAATGCTTCAATGAACAATTACAAAGATGCTTGAAACAAATTTAGAAGAATAAGTCTCAGCAAAGAAATAGAAAGTCTGAGCAAATAAACAAAAGGTGTAAAGAATCAAATGGAAATTTTACAACTTAAAAATACAAAACCAAAATATGACACAACTTTGTAAAATGACTATAAATCAATAAAAAATTTTAAAAAATATAAAACTATCAGTGAATGGAATAAACAGCAGAATGATGGAGAAAAAAAAATTAGTGAATAGAAAAATAGACATTATCCAATCTGAACAATGAAGAAAGTAAACTGAAAAATAAAAAAGAACATAACTTCAGGTATAAGTAGGACTATGATGAAAGATTCAACATTTTTATCATAAGGGTCCTAGAAAAAGAGGAGAAAGAGGGCATAGCTGGAAAACTACGCAAAAAAATAAAGGTTGAAAACTTTACATATGTGGCAAAAGATGTAAATTTAATATAATTTGAGATGTTTAAGGAACTCCAAAGAGAGAAGTCCAGTGAAATCCATACCATGACACATAATAGTCAAACTTCTGAAAACTGAAGAGAAAGAAAAAAAATCTTAAAAGCTCAAAAGAGAAATGACACCTTACCTATAGGGGAAAAGCAGTTCAGGTGACAGTGAATTTCATGTTAGAAATCATGCAGGCCAGGAGGAAATGGCACATTTTTCAATACTGAAAGAAAAGAAACTGTCAACCCAGAATTCTATACCCAACAAAAATATCTTTTAGGAATGAAGGAGAAATCAAGATATTCTTCAGATGAAGGAAAAAGTAGAATTTGTCATTAGCAGACCTACCCTAAAAGAATAGCTAAAGGAGATGCTCCAAACAAAAGAAAACAATAAAAGAAGGAATCTGAAGTATCAAGAAGGAAAAGAGAACATCGTTAACAAAAATATAGATAAACACAATATACTTTGCTTCTCTTGACTTTGTAAATTATGTTTGACGTTTGAAGCAAAAATTTTAACATTCTCTGATATGGTTCTAAATGTATGAAGAGAAAATATATAAGGCAATTAATTATATTGACAAAAAGGGAAGCATAAGGAACGTACAGAGAAGGAAGGATTTCACAGTCCACTTGAAATAGTAATGCCACCAGTAGGCTGTGATAAGTTATGTATATAGGATATAATATCTAGAACAACCACTAAAAAACTGTACAAAGACACAGACTCAAAAACACTAGATAAATCAAAACGGAATTCTAAAAAACTGTTCAGGTAACTCAGAGGAGTCAGGAAAAAGAAAGCAGAACAGAAAACAAAACAAAATGGCAGACACAAGCTCTAACTTATCAGTAGTTACATAAGCGTAAGTGATTTAAATACATGAATTAAAAGACACATTGGCAGAGGCAGAGTGAATTTTAAAAAACATGTCAACTATATGTTATCCATAAGAGACTCATTCCATTTGTAGCAGCTAGACAGGCTGAAAGTAAAGAGATGGAAAAAGATGTTATCATGCAAACATGAATCAGAAGAAAGCAGGAGTGGCTATATTGATATCAGAGAAAGTAGAATGTAGACTAAAAAAATGACCAGAGAGAGGCATTATATTATGATAAAGGGGCAGTCCTTCAAGAAGACATAACAATATAAATGTGTATGTACCAAACACCAGAGATGCAGAATATGTAAATTAAAAATAGAACTGGAAAGGGAAATAGGCAACTTCACAATTATAGTTGGAAACTTCAGCACTTTTCTCTGAACACTTGATAGAACAGCTAGATAGAAAATCAGCAAGAATAGAAAAGAATTAAACACCACTATTACCCAACAAGACATAATCAACATTTGTAGAACACTCCATCCAACAACAGCAGACCGTAAATTCTTTTCAAGTTCTCAGAACATACTCCAAATTAGACCATATCCTGGGTCACAGAATAAACTTCCACCAGGTTAAAAAACTGAAATAATACAAAGTGTGTTTTGACCACGATGGTATTAAAATAGAGTCAATAACAGAAAGATAATTGGAAAATGTTCACTCACTTGGAAACTGGACAACACACAGAAATAATCTACAGGTAAAAGAAGTCTCAAGGTAATTTTATTTTAAAAAACACATTAAACTGAGTAAAAATTTAACATATCAAAGTTTGAGGGCACAAGGGAACCAGCTAAAGCAGTGCCAAGAGGAAACTTATAACCTTAAGTGCATATATTAGAAAAGAGGAACAGCCTTCATGAACCTAGAGAAAGAAGAGCAGAATATACCTAAAGCAAGAAGGAAGGAAATAAACGTTGAGAGTGAAAATCAATAAAATTGAAATCAGAAAAACAATAGTGAAGACCAGAGAAACAGAAGAACTAGATCTTTGAAAAGATCAATAAAATTGATAGACTGACAAAGGAAAAAAGAAGAAGACAGAAATTGCTATTATCAAAAAATAGCATCAGAAACAAGCATACAAACCCCACAAACATCAACAGGATAATAAGGGAATACTGCGAACAGCTCTACACGTACGTTTGCAACTTAGAAGAGATGGACCAGTTTTTTTTTTTTGAAAAAATGCAGATAATCAGAACTTAGTCAGTTTGAAGTAGATAATATGAACAGCCCTAAAACTGTTAAGTAAATTAAATTTGTAATTAAGAAACCTCCCCCAAAGAGATCTCCTGACTCAGATATCTTTGTTGGAGAATTCTATAAAACTTTTAAAGAGAAGGAAAGATTTCCCAATCCATCTCACAAAATAATTATTACCCTGCTATCAAAGACACTACCACAGAAAAGAAAAGGAAAAGAAAAGAGAAGAAAAGAAAAAAACTGTAGACTAGTATCCTTCATGGAATAAACCCAAATATCCTTAACAAAATATCAGAATTCAGCAATCTTTAAAAAGAATTATACATCCTGAACAAGCAGAGTGTATTCCAAGGGTGCAGAGCTGGTTCACTATTTGAATATCAGTCACTGTGGTAACACTAATTTAATAGCCTAAAAAATAAAAATCTAACCACGTCAGTCAATGCAGTAAAAGTGTTTGAAAATTTTCACCATTCATTCGTGATAAAAACTGACAGGAAATGAAACAGTGATGGAAAAATGGGAATAGAAAGGAACTGCCTCAGACTGATAAAAGAGCAACTATAGAAAACCTTAACACTATACTTAATGGTTAAAGACTGACCACTTTCCCCCTAAGACTGGGAACAAACCAAGAATGTCCCCCTTTCACCACTCTTAACTCAGCATACGGTTGGAAATTCTAATCAGTGCATTAAAGTGAAAGAAGGAAATAAATGGCACACAGATTGGAAAAGAAGAGATCAAACTGTCCCTATTTATAATAATATGATTAGGTATGAAGTCCCCAAGAATGTACCCCCCAAATCCTAGAACTGATAAGTGAATCCTGCAAGATTTTAGTGTGTAAGATAAACACAAAAATCAATTTAGAAGTGGTTTAGTGCATTTCTGTGTACTAATAGTGAACATGTAGACACTGAATTTAAAAATACATTATTGTTTACAATCACACACACAAGAAATACTTAGGAGTAAATTTAATAGAGCTTGTATAAGATTTGTATGCTGAAAGCTATACAATACTAATAAAAGAAATCAGAGAAGATCTAAATAAATGTAATGATACATCATGTTCATGGATTGGAAGACACAGCAGTAAAGATGCCAAGTCTCCCCGAGTTGATACACATATTTAATACAATTCCTGTCAAAATCCTAGCAAGACTTCTTTGTAGATAAAAGGAAGTTTTTTCTAAAATTCATATAGAAAGACGAAGAACCTGATTAAATCAAAATGATTTATTGAGAGAATCAAGTAGGAGCGATCAGTGTACTTGATTTTAGGACCTACTTTATAGCTACAGTTATCAAAACAGTGTGATTTTGGCAGAGAGATAGACACATCAATGGAACAGGACAGGGAACCTATGCAAATATGATGAAGGTGCCGAAACAATTCAGTGGAGGAAACAGGCTTTTCAGCAGACGGTTTTGAAATAGCTGTACATTCATAAACAAAACAACAACAAAAAAGTAACCTTTACATAAATCTTGTGCTTTATGTAAGAATGAATTCAAAATGAATCCTGAATGTATATAAAACAACACTTTTTTAACTTTTAGCAAAAAATCATGTGAACAAATCTTCACAATCTTGGGCTATGCAGTGATTTCTTAGATTGAACACCAGACAGCTTATAAAAAGAAAAGTAGGTAAGTTGAACTTCATCAAAAAAAATTTTCATAGCAGAGATGCTGTGAGGTGGAGGAAAAGACAAGCAATGAAATAGGAGAAAATATTTCCCAAGCACATATCTGACAACAAAGGGCTAATATCTAGAATATATAAAGAACTCCCCAAGCCCAAAATTTAAAAAGCAGACAATCCAATTAGAAATTGGGTAAGAGACATGAAGAGACATCCCATTAAAGACTGTATACAGATGGCAAATAAGTGTATGAAAAGATTTTCAACATTATTCCTTAGCCATTAGAGATAATACAAAGTAAAACCAAGATGAGATATGACTACACATCTATCAGAATGGTTAAAATAGAACAATGGTAACAACACCAAATACTGGTATGGATGCAGAGAAACTGGATCACTTGTACGTTGCTGATGTGATATGACATGACCTAGTCACTCTGTAAAACAGTTTGGCGGTTCTCACAAAGTTAAGTATTCAGCTAACAGACAACCCAGAAATTGTGTTTCTGGGAATTTATCCCAGAAATGAAAATTTATGTTTACATATAAATCTGGACATGAGTGTACAGTTTATTTGTAGTAACCAAAAACAAGAAACAACTCAGATGTTGTTCAGTGGGTGATTAGTGAAACAAACAGTGGCACTTCCAGACTCTGGAAAACTACTCAGCAATAGGAAGGAATGAATGGGTTACTTAACAACCTGGATTGATGTCCAGAGAATTATGCTGATTGATTTTATTTATATACTTTATTGTTTCACTTATATAACATTCTTGAAATGCCAAAATTATAGAAGTGGTTAATGGTTGTGGACAGTTAAAGAGGGGATGGAGTAGAAGGAAGTGGGTGTGGTTATTAAAGGGCAACCTGGGGATGGTGATGGAGATGTTCTGTGTACTGATTATGTCAATGTCAGTGTCCTGTCTGGATCCTGTGCTATAATTGTATACGATACGATCATTGGAGGAAATTAGGTAACAGGTAGAAGGGATCTCTCTGTGTTATTTCTTACAACTTCATATGAATCTAAAGTTAACTTCAAAATAAAAAGTGTAATTAAAGGAAAACAAATAAAGTAGAAGATATCTTTTAGTGAAGTAAATGATATGGAAATGTATTTTGTAAGGCTTTGGAATACAAAAATAAATTTTAGTTTTAATTCTTTAGATAATAGGGAACCAAAAATCTTGATTATAGGTGTAGCACAAAGTAAGTGAATAGAAAATTACTCTAGGCACAGTAGATAGAATAGTCTTATACATAAAATTATGAATTATGACAGTATTTCAAAAATATCTTATAAAATATAATGTTTGAAAGTGTTTTTTTTAAGGCAAAGCCTTAAAAATAGAATTGAGTTGCCAATAACTAATAGTTTAAAAAGTAACAACATTATGAACTTGAAATAGTCCTTTTAGTATATAGAGGTTAAATCCTAAAATTGTTATTACTGGAAGTGCAACTTTGGCAGATACTGCTAGATCGGTTTCTTTTTTAGGTATGGGTTGATACCTTGGCGGTGTTTGTATATACATTGCTTGGATTTCTGATTATGCTTTCCCACTGGAGCAACATTATAAATGACTGCTATATTTCTGAGCCATAGTCCTATTTTAAAGTCTGAAGAAAGTTTTGGACTGCCTCCGCAGATAAATGGACAAGCCACCTTATTTTTTCATACCATTGGATTCAAAGACCACCTGAAATCTAGCTCTGGATCAGAAGAAAGGTTCCAGAGAGTCTTTATATAATTAATTTCACTGTGATATATAATCACCCAAAACAACTACCTAATGAGCATTTATTTGCTTGCACAGTACCTATCGCAGCTACCACGTGGGATCCAAAAGCTATTTTTAAAATAATCCCATATTGCAAGAGGCTTATGATCTAGTTTAAGAAGCAAGCTGTATTTATGAAATGATTAATTATTGAAAGTGTCAGAATGAGAATAGGGTAATCCCTGCTTTTAGATCAAAGCATTACAGCTCTGTGAATTACCTCAAGAAGACATTTTGGTAATTAATGTACTCTTTTGGACACAAGAGTATGAGATAGGAAATAGAATTCTTCATAAACAAGTACACAAAATCAGCAAAATGAGATAGGAAAACTAGAGACTACATGGATTTGTTCGAAAACAAATTCAGACTTTATGTTAGACCCCGGGGGTATTGCAGTGAAAACAGACACAGCCCCTGCCCTCGTGGAGTTTACAGTATTAAGAGAAAAATTGCTCAGGAATAGAATGAAGAATCCCTCATGCTGGGCTGCAGTGTGCAAAAAAGGTTTATGGTATAGGTTGCATAGCGTTTACTTAACTGTGCTAAAATACATTTGACCTTGAATAAGTTTCCTAACCTTTTTGAGCCTCAGAGAGCGAATCTTTAAAGAGGGGATAATAATGGATAATGCAATAAGATACTGGGTTCCGAGCCCAGCACTCGGGAGTTACTGCAGTTATTATCGGTTTGAATGGCACTAATGAATGACTAGATTAGAGTACTAACAAAGAAGGAAGCAGGATATTAGAGGTGAAGCACAATAGTAAGAAAGCAGGTGGACATTCCTTTATGGTCAAGGCAATAGGGAGACTAGTATAAAAAACTGTATTGGGAGGTAATAATAATCCATGTAATTACATGCAATGTGTAATACTTTAAAAGAAATTGTTACTGTTTTATTTTCTTGATTAGCCTCAAGTAGTTTTTTATTGTTGTTGTTCGATAAGTAGCTTTTAATTGGGGTAGTCTCTTTTAATAAAAAAAAAAGCTTTGCTTACCTTACCAACTTTCACTTACTACTTTTCTAGAGATTGGAAACGCATATGCTGTTTTAAGCAATCCAGAAAAACGAAAACAGTATGACCTCACAGGCAATGAAGAACAAGCGTGTAATCACCAGAACAATGGTAGATTTAATTTCCATAGAGGTTGTGAAGCTGATATAACTCCAGAAGACTTGTTTAATATATTCTTTGGCGGTGGATTTCCTTCAGGTATTTTAATGTTAGTTATAAGTGTTGTATTTTATGAAGCTAGAGATCCTCACTTCCAGTTAGACTATTTAGAGATATATCTACTTTTTCCCTGACATCTTATAGTATTATGATCCTGTGATGGTTTTTCATGAAGATAGAAAAAAAATTATACTTATTACCTTTACTCTAAGTCCACCTTTTTTCCTAGGACATATTTTAATTTTAAAAAGATATTCTATATTTTATATAAAGCTGCAGAAGGGATGTGTAAGTAGAAGATCTGGTGGCAATGTCTTAGTTAAATGCTGTGACAATTATAGGAGGTAACCTATACTTTGGATAACTATTTGACATTGGTTTTCTGAAGATCTTTGTAAATATTTCATTAATAACATTGTAGATTGCTAATATGGATATATGTAGAGGTACTTTCCGATGAAATACTCGTGTCTGAGTTATAGGCTATATATAAGGTAACTGGGTTTTAAAAAATTATATTAAGATAAAAATAGTTATCTGAACTAGGCTATCAAAGTAAAATACTGTAGAAGTACTACTAAATGAATAGACTTTTATAGTACCAGCATAAGCAGTGAATTTTACTTACATTTAATGTGAGTTACTTGATGGAAATTAATTTTCAAAAGTAGCTACTCTGAGGTGGTTAAAATTGTAGCTCCAGTCTTGTTTACAGCAGTTATGAAAGGTGCTAAGTTAAACATCCCATTCCAAATTAGGAGAGTCTTTATGAATGCAGCAGTACAGTTTGGCCTGCTAGCCCTGGCTGAATATCACTGAGAAAGATTGAGGTCATTGATAAGGCATTTTGTAAAGCATCCTTGAAAGAGGATGTGAAAATACAAATTAATGACTAAAAATATACCCTGAATTTTGACACATTAAGATACATAATTACCTATCACAGAAAAATTATTCAGACTAATGATTTTGACTGAAAATATTTTAGGAATAACTAGAAATCTTTTAGGTAATAGTGAATTTTCTGATTGTTGAAGTCCTTTTGTTTGTTTTAACATAGTTAATCAGTGGTAGCCATCTCTGGTTGGCACCCTCTTTGAAAACAATTTGAATGTCCATCGAAAAGAAGATGTTTGAAAATTGTGGCAGAAATTGATAAATGCAGAAAGTAGAGTTTCAGATTAATGATCCAAGGTTTCTGAAAACAGCTGACCACAGCAAAAGTCCTCTATGTACTCAGTATTAGGGAGGGACTCAATTCAAGTTTTCATCAAGAAAGAACTTCTCCTTTACTTTAAGAGAAGAATCATTCTTGGTTTTGTCTACCCTCTACTCACAAGAAGAGGCATTCATTCTTCAAACATGGATTGTTTTAGTAATTTTAAAAATTAAATAAAAATATAATAGAAAATAGAATTTTTCTGATCATGATTTCCTTCCTAATTTAACCTTGCTTTTAACTTCCTAGGTAGTGTACATTCATTTTCAAATGGACGAGCTGGTTATAGCCATCAACATCAGCATCGACACAGTGGACATGAAAGAGAAGAAGAAAGAGGAGATGTATGTTTATGATATGATTAGAAATCTTAAAATTGCAAATTTTAACTCAGGAAAAGCAATTAGAGTTGTCTGAAAATAGGACAAGTTGTTTTAAAAGGAAGTAACGAGTTTTCTTTTACCAGAGGTGTTCAGTAGAGACTAGAGAACCCCTTAGTTATGTTGGGGGAGCAGGGGTGGAAGTCAGGGTTGGAGGGTGGTTGGGCAGCATGACACTTCACGTTTGATAATCTGTGATTCTAATGAAGATAAACCTGCAGTGTGCATGCTTTGAAGGTAAAGTTTTATTGCTGGTTCTAAAGAATTTAGAATTAATACAAAAACTTAAATTAGAAGTCACTTTCCTTGTTCTAATGCAATTATACTTAATTGCATATAGCAGGTAAATTACATGAAGTAGAAAGGTAAATGGAAAAGGCACTAGACTAGAAAGTAAAAGATCTGGGCCCCAGCTCTCCCACTCTTATCAACGTCCATGATCCATGCTCAGATCCAAGGTAAAAATAGTTTTGCAAGCTACTGCATATTGATAGTCTGTATGAGAAGAAGAGAGAGACAGAGGACTTCCACATCTGTAAAATGAGATGAGGCTGTATCATTGTTGTCCAAATCAGGATCATGATCTCTAGGTGAAGAACCTAGAAAGTTGTGTTTTTAAGAATCACCCCCAGGAAGTTGGTATGATCAGGCAGATTTATAAGCATTGAACCAGATGATCTCAAACGTCCTTTCTGCCTCTGAAAATGTATGACAGCTGTTGGATTATTGACAACTACAGTTATATTACACTCTGTTATTCTTTGATGATTTTTTTATAGGGAGGTTTTTCTGTGTTTATCCAGCTGATGCCCATTATTGTATTGATCCTCGTGTCATTATTAAGCCAGTTGATGGTCTCTAATCCTCCTTATTCCTTATATCCCAGATCGTAAGTAGCTAAGTGAAGTTTTACGAAAAGACGAATTGTTTCTTGCCTAGCTTCATTAAAAGGGCCTCATGCTCTCTTAAACTTTTAAGTGCCAAATCTTTTACTACTACATGTGTACCTGATTTAAAAGTCTCTAATTTTAAAAATACTCAAGCAATAAATTCATATTTTGTTAGTTTACACTTCTGTTCCATTGTGAATAAAGACAGAAGTGCTATATTAGAACTTGATAGCAATTTAACGTAACAGGTAATATGTTGACATCGAAGACTTTAGAAGACAAAAATAGAATTGTGATTGATCTTACATAGATTTGTGTCATTAAAGGGGAAATGACTTCACTCTTCTGTCTGTAAAATATTGATTAAATAAAAGCAAATATTACTTTTTTGTTATATGAGGTAGTTTTCCATAATATACATTGTATATAAAAGGTCAGGACATATAGTACATTTAATGCAGCATCCATTCTAAAAGACTTTAGTATAATACAGTGGACATAAAGGAAACGGTAAAATCAAAATCATATTGCCAGTGATTTTTATAATACTAAAAAATAGATTGGTCTAAAATTAAATAATTTATTTCTTCCAAATAAAATTTGTACTAACTAAAAATTGAGAGAACTTATAAGAACATAATATATTAAAATGATTGCTTTTTATGACATGAATGGTAGTTTTAGGTAATTTGAGATAATGTAAATACTTGATTACCAATATTAACTTTTAATTATTTTCAATTGTTTTTGTTAGTTTGGTTTGTAGTAGCAAATCAGAATGTACAATTTTAATTAAAAAATAATAATCAAGCATTTCTTTTACAGTGGATCAGGGCAAACGATTAAAATGCAGACAGAAAACTTGGGTGTCGTTTATTATGTCAACAAGGACTTTAAAAATGAATATAAAGGAATGTTATTACAAAAGGTAGAAAAGAGTGTGGAAGAAGATTATGTGACTAACATTCGAAATAATTGCTGGAAAGAAAGACAACAAAGTAAGTTTATCAAATGTTTTAACATTTAAAAATTTATTCAGAGTCTTTGGAATTGATTACTGTGTATTTCCCTACTCAAAGAATGTTATAGAATTGCCTGGCACATACTCAGAGCCCAATACTTAAATGAGACCATATGTTTTAATGTGCATGTGGTCTTATAATAGTATTTGGCACATAGCAAGGACTTAATAAATGGCAGTTGTGTGCTTGTTGTTATAATAAATATTTGGTGGAATAAGTGGATAATACTAAATTTCATTGTATTTACGACGTTGTCAATTGTAGCATGCATCACTGTTTTATGTACCACTAGGAAAGAAAAAGATCCTGGCATGAACTATGCCATCAATTCTAATATACATCCTGTTTCAGATTTAAATTTGAAGCTCTTTATTAATTCACTAATTCAACATGGAGCACTTAATGTACAATGAGTTTTGTTGACATTTCATTTTCCTTTATTTTGTATGGAGAGAAGTCCTAGTGAACTCTTAATCAATTTGTTTAGACTTTTCCAGCCTCAGCTGTCTTAATTAAGCAGTTACACCTATAAAAAAGTTGACATTAAGAATCTACCGAGATGCTGCATGTGAATTGAGTGTTCGAGTTTTTCGTCTTTCTGACTGTTATGAATAATAATGTAGACTATATGGTGAAGACTTTGGAATTAAACAGACTAAAGTTGAATCCTACTCTGAAAAATTTCAGCTGAGTGATTAGGATCAAATAGTCTAACGTCTGTGAATTTATTCCCTCATATATAAAATGGATAATGATGATGATGAATGGGAAGAGGAAGTAACTGTAATTTAAATACCTATTGTTTCAGTCACTGTCCTAAGTACTATATATATATAGTGTGTATATATATATATATACATACACACACATATAAAGTTATTTAAACTCCACAACACTGTGAAGTTATTATACCTACATTATTTATGAGGAAACTGAGGCAAAGAGAGATTAATTAGAACTTGCCCAAAGTCATCAAGGTAAACTATGATTCGAAACCAATTTGTTTTCAGAATCCAGCACTGTGCTCCACAGCCTTCTCAATAGTACCTAACTTTATGGGCTTGTTGTGAAACTTAAATTAGGCAATAGTTAAAGTGTTTCATGTGTAGTAAATACTCAGAGAATGGGAGCTGTATCATTATCTCTTACTCACCAGGGAAAATTTGATGAAACTAACCTTGTGTACTTCTAAGAGAGTCCTCATCTCTAGCCTTGGTTTCTTCATCTATATACTGCTAGTTAGAGGCGCTATGACCTCCTTGGTTTCTAAGTCTGGGTCTGTGAATCAGTCTGTTCTCAATGTGGAGAAGATTAGACTGGTGGTTTTCAACTGGGAATGATTTGCCCCTGCCTCCCAGGGGACATTTGGTAACAATGTCTGGAAACTGTGTGTCAGCACGGCAGGGATGGGGGATGAGGTGGTGGTGGAAGGGATTGCTACCAGCATCTGATGGGTTAAGGCCAGGGATGCTACTAAATATTCTTCAGTACGCAGGACAACCTCCACAACAAGAACTATCTGGTTCCAAATGCCAGCATTGCTGAGGTTGCGAAACCTTGTATTAGCCGAAGGTCTTAAGGAAGTATTTACCACATTTTATTTATTTAATTTTATTTTGCTTAATTTTTTGATCTGTAGTACTTCGCACAATCCTTGGCACGTCATAGTCATAAGAGTAAGTTTTGATGGCTATATGAGCAATTGGATGAATAATGAATGAATTCATAAGAATGAATGAACGAAAGACCTGCTTATTTTGTGTTAAAGAATGGCTAGCATGTTAGATAAAACCATTTTCAAATACAAGTTCTACTCCCCAGCCAAAATGGGTGATTTTTGGATTATGCATACTTACCTTCTATTACCTTAAATAATTGGGAATTGACTGCATAAAGAGAAAGAAGGAAGGGAAAGATACTCATTTATGGAAGAGAATGTAACATTATGATTAAAGTGTAGGCCCTGGGACTGCCTTGCAAGATCCTGGCTCCACCAGCACATTACCTAGGCGAAGTTACTTAACCTAAGGCTCAGTTATCTTATTAAAATATGGACCATAACGGATAATATATATTAACACTTAGGATAATGCCTTGCACCAGTAAGTGTATTATTATTTATTATAATTATCATTGTTTTTTACTCTAGCCCTAGCAAACTAAGTGGTTTTGCTTGGCATAAATTAGTTTCACCTTTTAACAGTCTGGCAAGGTAAGTATCAATAGGTTTCATGGATGCTTCGGTCGATCTTCTGTCTACTATACCACATTATCTACAGCTATATTGTACACATTTATACGTGTCTTTCAAAGTTACTAGCAGAAGTTTTAGCTAATTCTGATTTAGTAAGTCATTATTTACAAAACAACTTGCTTGTGTTCAAGACTATTAATAAAACAAGACAAAACCCTTAAAGACTAGAGAGACATGACAACTAAATATAGTGTGTGATCTTAGATTGGATCCTGAATGGGGAGGCGATGGTTATAAAAGACATCAGGACATCACTGAGACAATTGGCAAAATCTGAATATGGACTACACATTAGATAATGGTATTACGTCATTGTTAAAGTTCTGAATTTGAAAATTGTGTTGTGGTTATATAAGAGAATGCCCTTGTTCTTGGGAGAAACATGCTGAAGTAATTAGGAATGAAAGGTCATGGTGTCTGCAACTTATTCTCAAAAAGTTCTACAAAATAATAATAACTACCACAACAATAACAACAACCTTTATTGTAGAGAGAGCTAAAGCAAATTTGACAAAATGAGAAGAATTGATCAAGGTAAAGGGTCTGAGAGTGTTTATTGTGGTACTCTTAATTTGGGTGTACATTTGAAATTTTCGAAATCAAATTCAACAGATTTAGCAAATCTACAGGTGAGGGGTTTGGATACTCTTGTCAGGATTTTTCTGTTTAGAGTCACTTCTAACATTCTCTCATGTCTACATTGGTAAAATAGGTGTTCTATAAAATACGAGCAGTAATTTGAGGTAATGGAAAGAGTATTAGGCTAGGAGTTGGAGATTTAGATTGGAGTCTAGATTCTGCCATTTCCTAGCCCTGTGGACTTTGACTTATCTACCTCATTAGGAAAGAATTGTATGCAACAGATTTTACAAGTGCCTCATTTGTAAATAAAAGAGGTGGAGTGATTCTGATTGAGTTGTTAAATCCTAACCTGATCATTTCTGAAGGATCCTTGCAAATAGAATACACTCGTATCTGTGTATTTTTAATGTGGTCCTGTCTGAAGTCCTCTAATTTGGCCACTGTTTTTTAAATCTTATGTAAGAGCTCCCACCCTTTAGAAGTGTTAACTAAACAGTGAAATGGCTGGGACTAACTGGAAAATAGGAATAGTTCCCTTAGGAATGTTTGATTTCTAATCCGTTCATCTTTCTTAACTAATGCTAACCACATATTGAAGGAAGCCTCAAAGATACTTATTTGCTAAATACCACTACTATGAATGTGAAGCAAGCTTTTTTCTCTTTTGTGTTCCTGTAGTAAGTTTATTATATATGTTTTAAATGAGGCAAACCCAAAACAAGATTTAATTTTTTTCTACTCAGATCTTGGCACAGTTAATTAATTTGGAACCTTAAAAGCTCATAGCAAAAACAACTACCGGCAGTGTTGAATTGCATATGATATCTTTGGGATAAGAGGTTGAGATGACGCTTTAGAGCAGTAGTTTTTAAACCTCTGAGCACAGGAGTGGAGGCAAGAACGAGTCGATAGGACACTATCCTTGTTTTCTAGAGCAGCTCTGCATTTGTTTTACATGCTAGGCTTTCAAATGGCTTTTAGTTCTAGTACCTGGATTTCTTTTTTTAAAAAAGTCAGTTAATAGAAATATATTGAGGGACTTCTATGAAACATCATCTGAGTTTAAACAACTAGGTGATCTAAATTCTTACTCTGCCAAATATTTTTGTCAACAGAAACTGATATGCAGTATGCAGCAAAAGTCTACCGTGATGAACGACTGCGCAGGAAGGCAGATGCCTTGAGCATGGACAACTGTAAAGAACTGGAGCGGCTGACCAGTATTTATAAAGGAGGATGAACTGGAATTTTATTTATATCTTTTAGAGTACTCTTTATTTTTTCTGCAAGTAAGTTTAGTTTCACCTTGAGAGCTAAAGAAAAAGATATGATGTTGAAAACTAAACTGAATAGTTGGTCCCTGAAATCTTGGACTGTTTATGACTTACTGGCTCCTTTAAATAGTAAGAAACTGAAAACTAAAATGAATATTTTAGTTATGCTTCTGCAATTATTTTCACTTTAAAAGCTTATATGATTCCTAACTAAAACTGTCTGAGAAAGGATCATCACACCTGTAGCCGTTCCTGGTTTTAGATTCTCCATTTTTCCCTTGTCATGTAAATATTTATGGAATGATCATTTTGTGTATATACAGGTTATTATTGCCTTTTTATTTAAATTCTTTTGGTGTTTAGCTCCATGAGACACTTCAGTTTAAATTGATGGAATAAATGTTGTATGACAAAATTACATTTACCTTGTCAGATGTCAAATGTGTGGAGTTTACAATGAAACTTTATCAAAAAGAAAAGAAAAAACAAAAGCTGTTTAACTTTGTGTAAAATCTTGTAGCATTATCAGCTTAGAGGGAATTGATATTTTTAATATTGCCATTATATTCCAAAATATATATTGAGATAAATGAACTGGTGTAAAGTATCAGTTTGCTATTTATTTAGTTTTATGAATTGCTAAGCCATGCATAGAAATGAAATGCTATACTGATAGATTTTAAAGAAAATGAGGAAATGGCTATATAAATACTAACCAAAAAGGGTCTTCAACAGTAAATTGCAGTTATGTCATTTGCAATTCCAATAACTAAAAGGCCCCCAAATGTTCCTTTGTATGTCTTTGAAGGCTGCTAAATTTTATGAAGAAAAGGACCTACCTGTTTTTCCCCCATGGAAATTTGCAGTTTCTTCTTAGTGATCATTTAAGCAGGATCCAAAAGTAAATGGGTTCTTACTATTGCCTAAGTAATAAGAAAAATTACTACTAAAATGAAGCTTTGTGCCTTTTAACTTGATTGCCAACTCAAACATATAAGTAGATTACAGCACACTTGATCAGAGCATGATCTGTTTGGCCATATGCAACAGTGATCAGAAATACAGCAGCAGGTAGAATAGTGATTTATAGCAAGTTATCCTTACAAAAATTTGAGCTGAAATCTATTCACCATTGAGTAATTCAGTTAATCCTATAGGAATAAGTTCCTTATAATTAAATCCATAATATAAATTTAAAAAATCAGCTGGAAATTGAAGTTTTTGGTGCCTGTATATTGAGTATGAAACTGTTTGATTTCTAGTCTTCTAGGTTTAACAGTGGTTAATATTTTAATGATTTTACTTCTCATTTAATGGAACATGAACACATCTTTGGTAATTTTTGTGTGTGTGAGAGAATGCTAATTAGAGTGGCAGTGTTCTTTTATTTAAAGATTTTTTTTCCTGAATATAGTTAACTTATAGGATCTGTTGAACAGAACTTCTAAAATGAGCATTCTTTTTTAATTGTCCTCTTGTATTGCCTTTTCCAGGTAAATCAACAGAAATGCCTGATTGAATTAGTTTAACTAAACAACATTCTGTCCTAGGAAAACTAGACAGCTTAACCAACTTTCCTTTAGAAATGCATCCTAAAAAAAAAAGTGTGCTTGAAAGAAAATACAATTTAAAATATTTTCTTGAGCCTATAGAATGAGTTTCTAAAAAATAAGGTCATAGCATTCTAATTAACTTTAAAAATTCATATGCATCAGAAAACTTAGATAAAAATTTAAATGAAATTTCAACCATTTATTTTTCCAAGTTTGATGGGAAATTTACACTCTTGTGGTTGATGCTTATGTGAATTGAATTCTTGTTGACTGATTTTTTTTCCCTTAATCCTGACTTTAAAAGGGACAGATGAAGTTATTAAGTGGAGTTATATATTGTGAAGTCATACATGGCTTTTGGACAGTATTATATTTCAGTTGCATTACATTACATTTCATAAGTCATAAAATGTGTTTGATAAAGTAAAATTTTCAAACAACTGTGGGAAATGACCCGAGTGCCTGACGATTTAAGCCACGTGTGAAGTATGCAAGTAAAGCTTAAGTTCTTAATGTGACTTGTATCATGGTGCAAAGGCCCATCCAAGTGTCTTAGAATTTTGAGTTAATTCTACGAAGTAGGAAGACTTCATTTCAGCTATCTTGAGGTGTAAGATTTTTCACATTTGTTACTCTTGTAACCAAAATCACGGCATTTTTCCATCTTATTTTTAGCTACCTGAGCTTTGCAATTTCATTTGATAATTTGTACTGTTCATTTTAATCATTGCCTAAAAGCCCTCTTTTTTTGAGTATTGCTCTACTAGCTTCTCTAACTGGTATTTTAGAAGGTTGGCAGCAATTATATTTATTAATGCTTTACATTTTTATCCCTTTTTAAACACACCCTGAAACATTCTTGTCCTTATGAGGATTTGGGGGAAAGTAAATAGTACCTTTTCTCCTCCTCTTTTGAGTCCTTACTTCCCAAATAGACAGGTGCTAGTCATTTGTAAATTCTGGAATTTTGATCAAATTTGAGAATTTAATACTCAGCAATGAGAAATAATAAGTGAAAACAATATATTTTGGGAACAGACTGCATTTGAATGCTTAAATAAGTATTTGTTTCATAACATTACATTATTCTTTATGACTTATAAAGATTTGGTAGGAGAAAAATAAGTCCTTAAGGCATATATATGTCAGTGCATTAAGCCACTCTGTTTTTATGTCAGCTCAGGTGTTCACAGGAACGGAAAGGTAGAATTCCAGCTCTTTACTTTAATTGCACTTTTAGGCTTACGTGTTCTTGTTAAATCTTTAGTTATACTACTATGTAAAAATTACTGAGATAAATGATTAACGTCTTGATTTCCCTTTGTTGATCTGTAATATTTTTAAATGCAATCATTATTTAACAAATGTGACATGTTAATATTACTTAATAATGCATTTTTGCATATTTAATTAAAAATAAATCTCCCACCTGTGTTAAAGCAGTGAAATATTTCTTGATGTTGGCCTGAGGACCAAATGAGCCATCTTTTAGTTAAGTATTAGGTCAAAGGACCAAATGGTTCAGGAGAATTTGTGCATTTATTTAGCTTCCCCATGTGAAGTTTGCATTCAATACTACTCATACTACTATCTGTCTTTATACTGAGTGAACCTACTGAAAGGGCATTCATAATCTTTTTTCTTAACTGAACAGAAAAACTTCTGAAAATGAACAATAAATCTTAATTTCAATCTTTACTAGATAGCTGGAAAACCTTATCTCTTGGCCACATTGGACTACTGCCTAGTTAAAAATCCATAAAGTTCTCTAAAACCAGTAAAAAAGAAAAGAGAGTAGTCTCAAAATAACTTCCAAAGTTTTTTTAATTCTAATTTTTAAGTTCAAGGAAAAAGTGGGTAGAATGAGGAGGTTCAAGTATTCTTGTATATTCCTTTAATAATCTGGCAGGCAACACAGTCCTAGAATTCAGGATTCCTTTTTCATTTTATTACTATTAAATAGTTTCATATCAATGGAAACATTTTCCCTCAAAACGTTAATTCAAAACATATTCCTTATATTAAGGATTATGTAACCACATTTTTTTGTAAATTCCTTGTGTGTAACTTTCCTGTCAGTATGTGATTCCTTTTCCTTTAATTTTATTACCTGCTGGTTTTGGGGCCAATAGATTTGTGAATATCCTGTGGATGTGTCCATGTATAGGTATGTGTTTGTGTGTGTGTGTGTATATATACACACACACACACACACACATATACATATATATATATTTTCCAGCTAATACCTCAAATATGTGATTGTTTAATATATACCACACTATGTTTGCATAGAACAGGGCTTCCATTAGCAGTGGATTTTCTTACTTCAAACTTTGAAATCCAGTCCACAGAATTTTATTGGTATGAATTCTTTCTGTTAATCTTTTTCATATTTTAAAACAGAGATTCCTATTATATGGCCCATACTTCAAATATAATTGTATCTTTCTATATATAGCAATTTGGAAATATGTAGGGGTAAGAAGTGTTTCTTGAAATAGTTTAGTAAGTTACTATTAAAAATTGGGATTACTGATTGCCAAGGCATCTGGTAACTGCATAGCAGATGAAATCCGGCCTGAATGTGAGTCTCATCACTTCACAAGAGTTGGGACATTTTAATCTGATATTCTACTTTGCCACTTAAGAGCACCACTAAAATAACAGAAAATCTTCAGTGACATTGGAGTATTTTAAGCATCAATTTTAAAATGAATTGTTTTGGATTCTATATGGATGGATGACTATATCAATGGGAAGGAAACTCACACATACATGATGCTTTTGTAATTTATCTGTATTAAGAAATGCTTCTTACCTTTTTTGTTTTTTCAATTTTTGGATTGCTACATAAGACTTTTTCCATTTAAAGTTTAGATCGTGTGTTTTTAAAAGCTGCAAGTAATTTTCAAGGTGAGATCGAATTTTAATGGAAGCCTTGTATAAGTTAAATAAGTGAAACTGGTAAAGGAGATCTTACTTTGTAGACAGTCAAGATTATACAATTAGATTTAAAAATGAAACGTCTGATTTGTAAAATATTTAATGTTATATCAGACTTATAAAGTAAAATTTTCTGTGTGAGAACTGTTAAAGAAAATGCATTTGATTTTTAATGAATGTTCTGCTGAATGATTTATGATGAATTTTTTGTCTTTCAGTCTCTGCAGTTTATCTCAGTATATGAATAAAAAGAAGGTGTGTTCTCACTGTAAAGGATTTGTTTTTATCATGTTTTACACCCTTAATGTCCTTTCTTTCATTCATTCATCCATTCAACAAATGTATGAATATCCCAGGCAGTGATATAGGAATTAATCATTGAACAAGACAAAAATCCTTATGAAATTTACATCTAGCAAGGGAAATAACTGTCAAGTAAATAAATATAACCATGATGAATGCTACAAAGAAAATTACAAGGTGCAACAAAAGTATGTAACTAGAAAACTTAACTTACTCTAGGAGGATCAGGGAAGGTTTCTCTCAGAAAGTGAGCTTAAGCTGAAACCCAGAAGATGAGGTAAGTAGGAGTGAGGTGAATGCTAGATAAATATTTCATATGGAGTGTGCTATGTGATAAAGTCATAGAAACTTCACAGAAGTGAAAACAAACTTGAATGATTATGGCATAAGGAAGCCAGGCCAAGTTAGAGAATTAACAGAAGATTAAGGGCCAGATCCCATGAGACCACATATAAACCATGATGATGGTAATTGGACACTATCCTAAGACAGTAAAAAAACCTTTTGAAGATTTTTAATGAGGGAGTTAACAGGATTAGTTTTGAGTTTTTAAAATAACATTTTAGTTACTGTGCAAAGAAGATTAGAGGACAAAAGTGAATGTAGGAAGAACAGGGAGTTATTGTCAAAGGAGAGATGATCGTGGATTGGACCAGAGGAGGAATAGAGATGGTGACAGATTTTGAGATACAGTCCAGGATGTAGAATCAAGAGAGTCTGATTGATTAGATTTGGGATAAATGGAGGCAGCAATTAAAAACTTTCCAAAAATTTGATGATGAAAAGAAGTAGAGAAAAGGGATGGTAGCTGGAGGAGGATGTGGTTACTACAGAAGGCTTTTTTTTTTCAATTATTGTTTATTACATGAGAGGCCTTACTGATTCTTTTTATTCTGATGGACAAGGCAAGCAGAAAGTCAAAGAATGATGACAGAGAAAAGAGGGATAATAGCATTAAGCACCTGCTATTCCAGAGGATACTGGAGCCACTGCAAAGAAGGAAGAATTACTTTAGCTAAAGACACCACCAACATTCTTTCAGAATGGAATATACAAAGGCTGGGTGCAAATGCAGACTTGTAGCATTGGTGGCCCGATGTTATAGCTTGTATTTTATTAATGAAATAGGCAGGTTATGTAAAGTTAGGGAGGGGAAGGATGATGAGCAAGGGTTACAAAGAATGAAGACAATTTGAAGGAATCATTTTCACTGAGTCAGCTGACTAGGGTCCCAGGTTGGTTACAGAATTTACAATCTGTTTAGTTTTGTGTATTTTCTCCAGCTTAACCCAGCAGCCTAGGCATAGGCCTGGAGAATACAACTTATTTAACTCATCCAAATTTGGGGTTCTGTCAGGCAGGAAAGATGGTAGGGGAGTTTAAGACATTGACAAGTGAGTGGTTTCACTGCTTGACTCTTGGATGTAAGCCAGAGATGGAGGGAATTAGTGATTTCAGACTGCCTAAGTCCAGGTTGTGATGACCATGGGTGATAGTATAAAAGAGAAAGTTATTTTATAGACTGTATAATTGTATTTTCAGTGGGCTAAATCCCAAACCACAGCCAAAATCAAAATTTATAAGACGTTTTCCAACTTGACCAGTCTAATTGATAAAATTTCCATTTTTGTATGTTGGAGAATCCGCAAGACTCTCCCTCTCATGAGTTTGAATACCAGCTAGAATTTTCACACAGCCAGTGAAGCCAGCATAAATCCAGATAATTGTTGAATTTTTGATAGGAAAACAAAACCAAAAAAAAAAAAATTGAGAGCTCTCAACTGTATACAACTAAGAGAAGTTTAAGCTAAAGAGAAACAGAAACAAAGGCTCTGATATAACAGAACTTCAACATGTATGTTAACTATATACACGTTAATTATATAACACGTTACATAATATACTAACATGTTGTGTACATAGCCAAAGTAGCAAATTTGTATAATGAGGTAAAAATTTTTTGTGTGTATGAATGTGTACAATTTCTCCTAGTTTCCTTCTGAACCTCAGAGATCATCTGGTAGACCCCACTTTAGAGAACTGGCACATGATGCTGATAACCTTTTAGGTCAGTAAATATTCCCCTTAGTCCTATACCAACAGCAGTGGTATCAATGGGTAAATGAAAACAGATCAATCTGAGTACATAAGGAATTCTGTTGACATGCTATAATTTGGAAACCACCACATTTGGAAATGAAAAATCTTACTAGATTTTTCAATTTGCAGACCTTGTTGTGTTTGGAGATCTTGAAAAGTTGTGCTCTCCCTTTTTGCCACTAAAGAAGAAGGAAAAAGCGATATTTTCCAGGTCAACTACCATTTGGTAAGGTCATTAAGATGGATAATTTTGTTAAAATGAAAAGTAGTGCTTCAGAAATTAGAAGTTCTTGCTAGAATTCATATTTTTATTTAACTCTAAACTTGGGGGCAAATAGAGGAAGGGTACAGAGGAAATAAGAAGTTATAGTCTTAGTCAGGGCCAGGGCTAATGGTTTCTTTTAATCACTTGCATTCTACAAATGTTGACCAAGTACCTACAGAGTGCAAGAAACATAGGCATTGTATGAAATTGAAAAATTCTAAACAGTGACCCCCTCCTTCTAGACCTTATGGTCTCATTGAGTAAACAAACCAAAACTATGGCACATAATTATGCACAAATAAATATCAGTCATTCTTGGTAGTATATAGTGGTATTCAAAAGAATGTGATAGGTGAGAAGGTGTTATAAGGAAACAAGATTTAAACAGCTAAGGTAGAAAGTGAAGGGGTTTAGAACATGCCACCCTAAAATATGCTACTTTTGAGCTGAAAGCACTAAGAAACAGCAGGTGCAGGAAGGTCTCTTTCACCTCCCACTTTATACTTAAAGGCTTGTCATAAAACTTCCTAAGAGAAAGGTACCCTCCCTCTACCAGAAAGAGAACATTCTCATCACCAGATGGGACTGACACCAAAATGGACGTGTGCAAACAAACCTACTAAAATAACCCTTATTTTCCATTAGTTTATGCCATATATTTAATAGTCATTATCCTACAATTTACTGCCCCTAGCCCAAGTCCCCTTGTCTCATTCCCACAATTTTTTGTTCTTTGTGTAAAATTGTAAACTTCGGGGCCAAATGGCTTCTTTCGATCTTCATTTTCCTTCTGAAGATTCCCATGCACTTGTAAAAAAGTTAAATGAATTTGTATGATTTTCCTGCTGTTAATCTGTCAATTTCATTGTTAGGCCCAGCCACAAAATCTATGAGAGTAGAAGGAAGTTTTCCTCTCCTAAAAGAGAAATAAGCATTGTAGAGTAAAGGAACCTCAAGAACCAGTGGGGAAATAAAAAGTAATTTTGATGTAAGGGTGAAGTAAGCAATGTGGCTGGAGTATAGGATTCACATTAGAATGCATTTAGAAGTAAATTAGAATGATATACTAGTACCAGAGTGAGGAGTATGTCAACTATTGTCTGTAGTGGTATTATCACTAAAGATTTTTGATCAGCAAAAATGTACCTTTTAGAAAGGTTTAACTAGGCATTATTAAGTGGCTATTGATATAGTCTTGCTGAATAGAATAATGGTTTGAATGAAGAGTTGAAAAAATATAGTGTAAAGTCATTGTTAAGGAAGGAAAGAACATGAGGAAGGAAAGAGCAAACATGGTAACTGACTTGATGGAATCGTGGAACTAACACAAACAGAGATCAGGAGACACAGGTTTGCTGATGGTTTTGGAGCTTTTGAGTTAGCACTGACAGACTTGTATGTAAAAAAAAAAAAACCAATATCCAACAAGCAGTTGAAAATGTGGACCTAGGATTCAGACGAAAGGTGGGGATTTAGGACTCACATTCTCAGGACACTGTAGAAGAGAAAAACAGCAGAGAAACCGAAGACAGGCTGTACATGCCTTCATTTAAGAGTTAAGTGACCAGAGTGGGTGAGGAGCTAAAATAAGTGCAGTATCCTAGAAGCTAAGAAATAAAAGGAAGGAAAAGGAAGTGATCTTCAATGACTTCAGTTGCTGTGGAACTGTCAGGCTCACTTGTAATGACTAGCAGTTCATCTGCAACATCTGGGAGCTTTGTAGTTATGGGTATTCAACTATTTTCACGACGTTTTGTGCAGTTCTACTTTTAGGGATTGGCGTGAAGATCAGTCGACCTCACTTTCCTACGGCATACTGTAGGTTTTCGTTAAATGTGCAAACAAGGCACCAAACAAAAAATAATAATAGGCAGTCCTTAAAGGCGCAGCCTTCTAAGACAAGAACCATTGCCCAATGTCTGCATATGTAGAGGCTCGAGGTGCACACATAACAGAGCACCAGAAAGCTCATGGCTCCTGGATTCTATCTACACCAAGCCTTGGGTCAGAGCACCGGGGCAGCACCCATGGGAAAGCCAAAAGAGACTAAGAAATTGGGATCAGAAACCTATGGACCTGGGACTTCTAATCACCGGCAACCTGGTGCTTGCTGTTCAGTATGTAACACCACCCCTTCAAATTTCTTCATCTACAAGAAGATAATGGTCCCTTAAAAACGAATAAAATGTATGCACCCTCTCCGAATAAAAACGTCTTGCTTGCGTTTTCCGGGGATCTTCAGGGCTCGGCGAGCTCCCGGGAATCGCGATCCAACAGCGGGTGTCCTGACGTCCCGACTCCCGAACGTCCGGGTGTCCACGCAGGCGCAGGGAGCATCCCAGGTGGTACGGGCGGGCGCCACGCAGGGCTGCGCGCTCCGCTTCCGCAGCCCCTCCCCGGAAGTCTTGCGTCACCGGGCGTCGCGGGCGTGGGAAGTGCTTCCTGGAGCACCGAGGAGGTCATAAATCATGTGACGGCAGTTTTTAGAGGAACCTGTCTCAGAAGCTGTCCCTAAAGTGACAGCTCAGAGAACCAGGCAGCCCAGAAACCCAGGTAACTGGAGCTACTCTGCCCGGTATTGAGGCCTGGGCCCGCAGGTGGCTCGCGCGGCGAGATGGAGGAGAGGACGCCCCCCTACTTCGGGCCTAGATCTTGGCGGGTAGAGGGTGGAGTGGGCTGAGGTTAGGCGTCTCGGTTACCCGTCTGGGTACCTAGGAAGGAACTCTGACTCCCTTCGGCCGCCCTGTCCCAGGCCCTAGAGCCGCGGGTCCTTGCCTCACCCTGATAAGAGCTAACGCCGATTATTAGGTTGGGAGTGGGGAGGGCGAGGGCGAGGACGTTTTGAAGGGAGAGTCACCAGGAGTTTCTCTTCCAGGCGTGGAGATTGAACCTGCGGGAGAAAGGGGTTCATCATGGCGGATGTGAGTTAACACCCCCACACCAGAGGAAGGAGAGGGTGGGGAGGTGGATGAGGCTGCTGGGCGGGGAGAGGTAGCACTTCCCAAGTAGAAATTTGCTTAGCTTTAGCGCTCCACTCCAATTAATTATTTTCTTTAGGATCTGGAGTGAGAAACTAACATGAATAATTTGTGGGGTCATGAGTTTCTGCCTGGAATGGGTTTGGAGGACACTAAGGTGCTTGAAGTTGAGGTAATTTTATTTTTCCCACTCTCCAATCCTGCAGACGTAAGAGGGGCACTGCATATTTACCATTTCAATTTCTAAAAGATGATTTGCTCTCTGAGTCTTTTTCCAGTAAGTGTTCGTTATGTCTCTCTCAATATATAGTAGCAACTTGAGATGATTTATAACTAATGCCTCTTTGGCACAGCAGTACAACCAAAATTCTAAATTTGGGGAACTTAATTAGACTAATTACTAGAAACAGCAGGGAATTAATGCTACTACTAATGTTTAAGTTTGTTTATTCTTTACATGCTGTTATTTTGCTTACATACATGCTAGATAATGCTTTGAAACATTGAACATATACTCATGTCATTTCTACAACAACTTTTATGAGGTAGGCCCTATTATTATTATCCCTGTATTATAGATAAGGATGCTAAGGCACAAAAAGATCAAATGACTCGCCTCAGATTTCACAGATAGTAAGTTGTGGAGATACCAATCGAGGCCGACTGACTCCAGATCCATGCTCTTACCCGCTGCACTAAATGACTAAATGGTCATTCAATGTTAATATGATCTGATTTTTCTTTTTAGATTGCAAGATAATGTGTTTCAACATTTAGCAACTTTTTATGCCTCTGTCACTCCGTTTGAGGGCGTTTCTGTTGTATTTTTGAGGCCTAATTTTCCAGGCATAATCAAATCACTAAATTCTGTTCAGCATCTCCCTTGAAAAGTTTGCTGTAATAAGGGCTGTGGGAGAAATGAAGATGACTAAGGTATAAAGTGTTTTCCATTGCCAAGGTTGAGAATCACTGCAATTATGGATTGAGAGAAGGAGAATAATATGATTACTGGAATTGTGTAGAAATGTATGAGATAGAAGTGGGAGCCCATCATACCAATTGGGAGGCTGGTGCAAGTCACAAATAATAAAATGAACCTAAACTGTAATATCATTTGAAAAGTAGAGGAGGAGATTAGTTCAAAAACGTTTGACTTCATAAGTGATTTTTAAAATGACACATTTGAGGTTAGGGTTAAATATTACTTTATGTTTCAAAGATGAGTACATAGCAAGGATTGGTAGTGCCATGAGTGGAAACAAGAAGAGATTGAGGAAATCTGGATTTCAGATGAGAAATGATGAGTCTTTGACATGTGTGTGTGAGATGAGAGCAGAGGGAAGCTGGTGGTGACAACATGAAATAAACATTCAGGTTTGGAGATTAGTAGGGATTAGAGGGACAGATCAACAGATACCTGATTTACTTACGTAGAACTCATAATTGATGCCTGGATTGTCAATAAAATTCCCCAGACGAGGAAGTGTAATGAGACAAAATCGTCTTGTGTTTTTTTTAGTCCTATGTCCCTTGCTAAACACTTGACATGCATTGTCATTTGTCTTTAGTCATGTGAAACTGAGTTTCAGAGAAGTTAGTCAACTTACCCAGAATCATTAAAGTGGTGTTAGGAAGCCTGTGGACATGGAAAGATACTATGTATTGTGTATTTATGTTTCCACTAGTGGATATGCTAATCACTTTATATGTGTCTTCTTAATAAACTTTAATGACAGTCTTATGATGTAAGTTCTATAATTATCCCTAGTCAACAACTCATGAAACTGAGGCTTAGAGGAAAAGGCTAGTTCACTTGCTGCAAGTCACACAACTAGTAAAAGCATCAAAATCAGAAAGAGAAAGACAAAACACTAGTAAGAATGATTATGAGTGAATACTTAATATACCTGAAATGTGGATAGGACAGTATCTAGAGAACCAGTACAAGGCATATTATTATAATACGATTTTTTATATTCTCTTTCAGGACCTAAAACGATTCCTGTATAAAAAATTACCGAGGTAAAAAGTCACTAATTTGTTGTTAAATTCTGCTTAACACATGTTAATTTTATGTCGTACTTTGTTTCTGTTTATCTTAGATTAATGTATGTACATTATGCTACTATTGAGCACTTTCAGATACCTAACATAATCTTAGGTAAGACAAGTGATGTACTTTGAGTTTACAGATGAATAACATGAGCCCTAGAAAAGTTACATGACTTGTCTGGGGTTAAACAACTAGTGAATGCCAGAGGGCTAGAACCCAGATTTCTTGCCAAGTACTTCAGAGTTCTTTCATAGCAGTTTACTGGATTATACTTTGAAGTAGTTCAAGTAATTTTAAGGGGAAAATAACCTAAGAACTTGCCTTTATTTTTAATACTGCTTTTAAGACCTTTTACTGAGTCTACATGACCCCAAAATGCTAGACTTAGCAGCTCATACTTGGAAAATTCACAAGGCTTTCTTCTACCTGCACACAGTCCATTAGATGCATCATTTTATAAATTAGGTTCTTATGTTGACAGCAACTTCCTTTTAGATATTTTACTGATTCAAAGGACTTTGTCACTTTAGCTGAATTAAAATTCACATTAGTTTAATGTAAAGTGATACTTGAGAGTTAAGGACATGAAAGAGAGGAGTATGACTTGAGACACCCATTTCACATTCCATAAGAACTGGATACTTTGAATTAATATAGCAGGATATGTAGTGAGGTCCTTTCTTTATTTCTTTTTTTATTTTTTATTCTGTAAATCTATTTGAAATTAAAAAGGTTTTAGATGTCAGTTTCTGTGTATGGCAGGAAAAAACCTTTTAGATTTTTGCCTAAATTGGTTTATGTGGTTTGCCTATAGGCTGTGCCTTTACTCTGATTACAGAGCAGTCAAAATTAATATTATCTTCTGGTTTTGATTTAATCCATATTTTTCTTCTCTACTCAGGAAGAAAACACTATTGAAGTGTTAATTGTTACTATTGATTTTATGTTAATGCAGTACTTAGATCCATTTTTACTGTCTTCCTCCTGGGTGTGGTAAACTGTAAAGCAAGCTGCCAGTTCTGTTCTAATCCTAACGGTGAGCAGTAGCAGCACTCTCAGCTTTGCACAGAAGTGCAAGACCTTAAAAATGACCATTCAGACTGAAACTATCCAAAGCAATAATAATAATCATTGGAAAAAATTATATTTGTTTTGTGGCCTTTAAAAAATGTTGCCAACACATTACAACTTCTCTTATTGTTGGTTATATTTAGGAGAATGGAAACAAATGCTATAACTAATATTTATTTAATACACTATCACTTAAAACATTAGAAACATTGAGAATTAGACTGTTTATTTCTTTGTAAAAATGTGTTAAAGTAGTTTGAACAGTGTCCACTTCTTTTCGTGTCCCTTCAGGTATTTGAAAGGTACATCCTTAAGATAAGGAACAAGCATCTTTGGAGTGCCTGGCAGACTGGCATGTTGCTTTTTAGGTTTGGAAGTCTAGCTTCCAGCATTTTGTCTTTCGTACTTTCAGTGATGGGAAATATCTCTGAGAGTCCCTTGAATGTGAAGTTTCTTGCCAGAGTCACCTCCTGTGGGACATCTTTATCCTTTTCATCACAACCACTTTTCTTATTTATTTCAGTACCTTTGCCTTCATTAAATTGTTCTGGCTGCACATCCAGTACACAGCACCCAGTGGCAGCCTTCCTCAGCCTCCGGTTTCTTCTAGAACTCCAGTTACTTTCTGTTTGAATTTCACTTCCGACATTATCACTTTTTATTTCTTTGCTGAGTTTCATCTTTATTGGCCATTCCCTATTTCAGAATCCCTCTTTTTTTCCTTGTCTCATGGTTTATCACTGGAAGACAAGAAAGTAAAAAAAACACATGCTTTGTTATCTTTGCATAAACTGAATAACAGATGCTCAGTGATCAGTCACTCTGAAAGAAGTGATGTGACTGGTTACTGATCACAATGTGCATTTGTTATTGACAAAGTTATTTACATACCGAATGGTGAACTGAAGAGTTAGCTAAGCTTTTCCTTCATTCAGTTGTTCAGTTAATACACCACATTAACTGAGACTTGACCCAAACTGTGCGGGTTGAGGGGTGGTATTATTTAACTAAACTGTGGTAACTAGAAGGTGTCTACAGTGGAACTATACAAAACAAGGGCTTTCTATGCTTATCTGTATTTACCTTATTGGAGGCTTAGCGTATTGAAATGTTGGTAAAATTGTCCTGGGGAGGGGGAGGGATACCACACTGGTGACAAAGTATAGAAACAGAAGCATAATTGATACATGTAAAAACGGTATTTGTAAAAACAATGAAAATCTTTCCATAATGGAAGGAAGGGGATTAGTACATTTTTTTCCCATAATTACTAAGGCCAGTTTAATTCATTTTCATGATCATTTTTTGAAAGTAGGCTTAATACATCCAAGAGGTAAAAGAATGAATGAATAAATCATAATATTGTGAACACTTATAAAGAAAAGTCATAAAATATACACTTCGATTTATTGCTAGATGTATATAAAGTTAAGGGATTGGGATACAAGCAGCCTGACTTCAGAGTTGTGGGTCCATGCTTTTTCTTTTCTTAAGAATAATTTTTTAAAATTGAAATATAATTGATGTACAATGTTGTGTAAGTTAAAGGTGTACAATATAGTGACTTACAATTTTTAAAGGTTTTACTCGTTTTATAGTTATTATAAAATATAGTCTATAGTCCCTGCATTATACAATATATCTTTGTAGCTTATTTTATACGTAATAGTTTGTAGCTCTTAATCACCTACCTCTATCTTGTGGGTCCATGCTTTTGTTACTGCCATGACTTTGAAAAAAACCAAGTCAGAGAACTACATGTGAATGGAATGTGCTTTTGTTCATTTTTTAATTCTGTGTTGGATAGAGTTCTTTAATTTGTATTTTAAAATCTAGTTGTGACCCAAAGCAGTCTCAAGCTTTAATAATCACAATTTTTTTGTGTTTTAAAATAACCAAATGTTTCATCATTGTATGAGTAAAACTAAGTATGAGGTCCTTGATTACTAATGTAACATTTGCTTTTTGGGGATGAAAATGTTTGTTTTGGTAAGCCTAAGATTTAGATTTCTACAGGATATTTCATAAAATTTAATTTATTCCTTCTAAAAGTGTAGTGTACCTATTAATACATCATAGTTCTTTTCAATTATTAGTAAAATGTATACATATTTTTCTTTGTTCACTCTGTGTAGAATTGGAAACACCTTTTTTATTTGTGACCTGATTTCTTTAAATGGGTCCTTTATGAGTCATTTTTCTGCTTTGTTGAACTTTTATCTCTGAATTTGAAATCCATTAAAAAGAAAATCCTTTTATTTCTTCCTGTTTTGGTGTATTAATTGGCCTTTAAATTAGTTACCATGAAAATAAGAAAAAATGATGGTACACGTGTTTCTAAACATTTTTGTAATACTCTTTACCTGTTTTTCAGTTGGCTTATTTTTTGAGTAGGCAATATATTTATAAAGCTCAAGATTTGAAAGTTAACTGAAGGACATAGAGTGAGAAGCTTTCTCTACCTGCCCTCCACCCTTACAGTGCCGTCTCCAAGGCACCCATCGTTACCTTCAGAGATGGTTTATGCACCTACAAGCAAACGTATACTAGGACACATATTTGCACACATATGCATATATCTTAGTTAGTTCGGGCTGCTATAACAAAGTACCATAGGCTGGATTTCTTATAAACAACAGAAATTTATTTCTCACAGTTCTGGAGTCCAGAAGTCTGAGATCAGGGTGCCAGCATGGTCAGGTTATTGTGAGGACCCTCTTCCCGGGTTGCAGATTACTGACCTCTCAAATCCTCACACAGTGGAAAGAGGGCTAGCTCTCTGGCCTCTGACAAAGCTACTAATCCCATTCTTGAAGGCTTCACCCTGATAACCTAGTTGCCTCCCAAAGGCCCCACCTTCAAATAACAGCACCCTGGGATTAGGGTTTCAACGTATGAATTCTGGGGGTGATGGCAAACGTTCATTCCATTGCAACATATAAACTCACATGTCTACACGTTATTTTGTAAGTTGTTTCTTATATACACTATTCAAAATGTGTATTTTTTCACTTAACAGTGTAACTTTGAGGGCAGTCCCTCTCAGTACATGAAAAGCTCTTAGTGGTTGCAGAATATTCCATTGTATATGTGTGTCATAACTTATTTAATTTGTCCTTATTGGTAGACAGTTAGGTTTCCAATTTTTTCCAACTTCAAGCAGTGTTACTGCTGATAGCTGCACAACATTATTTGCATATGTACGAGTATCTGTTGGATATTTTCATATAGCCTCGTTTTTAACTTTGTTTTTATGTATTGATTTTATAGTATATGTTTTAATCCATAGTTTCAAGATTGAATAATAGAAAATAATGCCAGTAAATATTTATACACAATTTTTTCATCATTCTTCTTTTAAATGTGAGGGAAATAAATGGTTTTGTTTGTAACATTTTCTACTTGAATTTTAATCACACTTCTCTGGCTTTAAAATTTTTGACAATGAGATATTTTAAAAATTTAATTTCAGTATCTGCACATTAAATTAGTATTAAAATTCCTCATTCCTAAATTGAAAAATTAAGGTTAACACACTAAGGAGTGGATAATTCTAATATATAATAGGACATTAAACGTATTTCTGAGTTGCAGTCTACCTATATTATAAGATACAGGCATATCTCAGAGATACTGTGGATTTGGTTCCAAACCACCACAATAAAGCAAATATTGTAATAAAGTTAGTCACAAATTTTTCTGGTGTCCCAGTGCACATAGAAGTTATGTTTATACCACACTGTAGTCTGTTATGTGTGTGGTAGTATTTTACTAAAAAAAAAAAAAAACAGTGTACATAACTTAAATAAAAAATACCCTGTTGCCAAAAAACCACTAACCATCATCTGAGCCTTCAGCGAGTCATAATGTTTGTGCTGGTGGAGGATCTTGCCTTGATATTGATGGCTACTGACTGATCTGGGTGGTAGTTGCTGAAGGTTGGAGTGGCTGTGACAGTTTCTTAAAATAAGACAACAATGAGGCTTACCGCGTTAATTGACTCTTCTTTCACAAACACTTTCTTTGAAGCATGCAGTACTGTTTGACAGCATTTTACCCACAGTAGAACTTCTTTCAAAATTGGAGTCAGTCTTCTCGTACCCTGCCACTGCTTTATCAACTAAGTTTTTTCAAATTCTTTGCTGTCATTTCAGCAGTCTTTACAGTATCTTCACCAGGAGTAGATGCCATCTCAGGAAACCACTTTCTTTGCTCATCCATAAAAAGCAGCTGCTCATCCATTAAAATTTTATCACGAGATTGCAGCAGTTCAGTCACATCTTCAGGCTCCACTCTCTTGCTGTTTCACAATGTCTGACTTAACTTCTTCCCCTGAAGTCTGCAACCCCTCAGAGTCCTCCGTTAGGATTGGAATCAGCTTCTTCCAAACTCCTGTGAATGTTGATATTTTGATATCTTCCCAAGAATCATGAATGTTCTTAATTGCATCTAAAATGGTGAATCCTTTCCAGAAGGTTTTCAGTTTACTTTGCCTGAATCTATCAGAGGAATCACTGTCTATGGCAGCTGTGTAGCCTTATGGATTGTATTTCTTAATTAATAAGACTCAAAAGTCGAAAGTACTCCATGATCCATGGGCTGCAGAATGGATGTTGTGTTAGCATGAAAACAAAGTGACTCTTGTACGTCTCCATCAGTGCTTGGGTGACCAGGTGCATTGTCAATGAACAGTCATATTTTGAAAGGAATCTTTTTTTCTGAGCGGTAGATCTCAACAATGTGGTAACATACTCAGTAAACCATGTTGTGAACAGATGTGCTGTCATCCAGGCTTTGCTGTTCCATTTATAGAGTATAAGCAGATTAGATGCAGCTTAATTCCTAAGGGCCCTAGGATTTTCAGAATGGTAAATCAATATTGGCTTCAACTTAAAGTCACCAGGTGCCTTTGCCCCTAACAAGAGAGTCAGCCTGTCTTGTGAAGCTTTGAAGCCAGGCATTGACTTCTCCTCTCTAGCTATGAAAGTCCTAGAGGCATCTTCTTCCAATAAAAGGCTGTTTCATCTACATTGAAAGTCTGATGTTAGTGCAGCCACCTGCATTAGTTACGTTAATTAGATCTTTTGGATAAGCTGCTGCAGCCTCTACATCTACTTGCTGCTTCCTCTTGTACTTTTATATTACGGGGATGCCTTCTTTCCTTAAACCTTATGGATCAACCTCTGCTGGTTTCAGATTTTTCTTCTGCAGGTCCCTCACCTCTCTCAGCCTTCATAGGATTGAACAGAGTTAGAGCCTTGCTCTGGATTAGGCTTTAACTCCAGGGAACGTTGTGGCTGGCTTGATCTTCTAACCAGACCACTACAACTTTCTGCATAGCAGCAATAAGGCTGTTTTGCTTTCTGATCATTCCTGTATTCACTGGAGGAGCAGTTTTTTGCTTTTTGGTTTTTTTCTTAAGAACTTTAAATTCACAGCTTGACTGGCACAGGAGGCCTCGCTTTTGGCCTGTCTCAGCTTTTAACATGCTTCCTCACTGAGCTTAATCATTTCTAGCTCTTGACTTAGAATGAGAGATGTGCGACTCTTCTTTCACTTGAAAACTTAGAGGCCACTGTGGGGTTACTAACTGGCCTAATTTCAGTCTTACTGGGTCTCAGGGAATAGGAAGGCATGAGGAGAGGGAGATGAGAGAATTGCCAGTCACTGGAGTCGTCAGAACACACAGCTTTATCAATTAAGTTCACCATCCTGTGTGGGCACAGTTTGTGGCACCCTGAAATAATTAACAATAGTAACATGAGAGACCACGTATCACAGGTCACCATAGCAAATATGGTAGTAGTGAAACAGTTTGAAATATGGCGAGAATTATCAAAATGTGACACAGAGGCAGGAAGTGAGCAAATGCTGTTGGAAAAGTGCCCATAGACTTGCTCCACGCAGGGTAGTAAAAAGCTCAGTAAAATGAAGCACAGTAAAATGAGGGATGCCTGTAGTTAATAAGGCCATAGGTTTTGTGTAAATTATGAAAATTTGAGAATGTTTCTCCATTATAACATGTAACACTTTTTGTACTCTAGGGATTCTCGCTAATAATTTAGTATTTAAACTGCAAAGATAAATTGTGTCATTATCAGTGTACACAAATGACAACACTGATGTTAATAGTTTTGATAGTTAATAGTTACATAGTTTGATAGTTACATAGTTAATAGTTAACTATGTAAAATCCAGCCTCTATTTTACATGCAGTATTTTATAAAATTTCACAGTAGCCAAGTAAGTACAATTATCCTCATTTTCATATTGTTGACTAAGACTTGGAGAGGCTTTGTAACTGACACAAGGTAGCATAAATAGTACGTGCCAGAGCTTGTACTGGCACCCAGGATTTTCTGACTTCAGAGCTGAAGTCTTGACTGTTCTGCTTGCTTCGTGTGTAGGCAGGGCTGAAAGGATTGCTGCTTGACCTCCATTCTTCCTACCCTGTTCCCTCAGCCTGCATCCATCTTTCTGCCCCTCTCTTCTTGGCACCATAGCATCTGAGCTGAGATATCACTTCCTCAGGGAAGCCTTCCCCGACCCACCTGTCTAAACAGCCCCCCCTTTTATCAGGCCCTCATATCCCCTCATGGCTCTTAATGGCATTTCCCACAGATGTGGTTTGTGTGAGGTTATTTGACTGATAACTGCTCCCCTTTTAGATTGTAAGTTTTGTGAAGACAGCAGCTGTGTCTGTTTTTGCTTGTTATGGTGGAAGAATTTTGGCAAACCCATTATAGGAGCTTGTATCAGTAATTGAGTTCTCTTGATTTTTCAGAAATATACATGAAAATTACCATTATGACTTTGAGGTACATGTTTTGAGAAAATGTTTTATAATATTTTAATCTTTTTTTCTAGTGTTGAAGGGCTCCATGCTATTGTTGTGTCAGATAGAGATGGAGTGCCTGTCATTAAAGGTAAAACGGAGCAGTTATCCGCCAGTGTCATGTTTGCTTTTGAGTGAAAATGTATTTATATCTGAGTAGAATAGAAGGCAACCATAGAACCCATTTCAGTACATTCAGGAGATGTTCTTAGTTTGGGAGGAAATTTTGCTGTAAGTTGAAGGCTGGGTTGAAATCTTAAATAACTTATATATCAAACGTATCATGATATCGTCCACAGTTTAAGTATGGGTTTATCATAGTCCCTGTTTCCCATTAAAAACATTTTATGAACATTGTAAAATGACTATAACTCAATAAAAAAAATGTTAAAAACAAAAAACATTTTATGGTATAAGATAAACTATTAATAGATCTAAGTGATGAGAGTGAGCATATATGCAGCTAGATATTATACACACAGACTCCGCCTAATATATATATATGTATTTATCAACATTACTAATAGTTTTAGGATTTAGGATAAGCATTCATACATTTGAATCAACATAAGTTTATTGTGTTGTTTGCTCTTCCCTTATTTTCTGCTTCCTTATTGGAAATAAGGTTTTTTTTAAACTTTTAACTTCACAATGCTTTAGTTAACCTGAATCTAACAAGAATTTTTGCCTAAAAAATTTCTTGTTAACCTTTAAAAAAAAAAGGTTTCTGCCTGAGTTTTAGCTTTTTATTTAAAGCATATATGCTGTCACAGAAAGATTATATAATGTTCTGCATATTTTATTTGCAATTTATTTTCCACCTGGGGTTACCATATATGTCAGATAATTTCAGATTTCAGAATTGAAAGAAAGTTTAGAAGTCACCTAATTTAGTTCTTTCATTTTGTAAATGAAAATGATCAAGTGCAAAGAGTGCATTTTCAGTCCAGAGTTGCATATGCGTCAGTGACAAAATAATTATAGAACCTGTTATCTCCTGATGTGTGGTCCAGTGGGCTCTCTAATCCAACATGAGACGTAGGTGGCCATGGACAGGTCACTCACCTTTTCTTGGTTCTGTAACGAGGACTTGGAACAAAATAATCTCAGAGATTTTCCAGCTGCAATGTTCTTTCTGGGGATCTGTGTTAAAGCCTTAAGCTGTGCACTTATTGGTACAATTAACTCCACTTAGAGCTTTTAGTGAGTGAAAGAAACTTAAAACAGATATTTCTGTGGATTTTAGAAGAGCAAAAAGGTTTTTGAAGCTCTTTTCGTTATTCTAGCTTTGTTCTCAGTTAACCAGAATTTCAGTTTATTAATTGTACTGATAATCATAATCTGTGTTCTAAGAGAGAGATTAAGAAAATAGAAACATTTAGTATTCTTTTGAAAATTAAAAAGAAAATAATGAGAATCAGCATTTCTTCCCTTAGTTATGATCACCTGATTTCTGATTGAGTGGTTTTTCCCACCTAACTTGATGAGACCCAATTAGTAATACGATTTTCAATATTGTTAAGCATAACCCTTGTGCTCGATTTTTTTTACAGATTTATGTTTTTTTTTAAAGTGCTGTAAACATTTTCCCTACCAAATCTGCATAATTTTTACTTGAATCACTTATATTTACAGTGGCCAATGATAATGCCCCAGAGCATGCTTTGAGACCTGGTTTCTTGTCCACTTTTGCCCTGGCAACAGACCAAGGGAGCAAACTTGGACTTTCAAAAAATAAAAGTATCATCTGTTACTATAACACATACCAGGTAAGTTCATAATTGCCGAGTGGTTCACTGATGATTTCAGCTATCATTGTTATGTCTTCTGTATAAAAGAGCTTATTTTGTAATTCTAAATTTTAGTGTTCAAGTGGTGGAATTTTTAAATCTTAGCCTTCAAATTGGTTGTTAACCTATAGTAATTTTTTTTCACATTTTACATCAAGAATCAATTAATATGGACAGTTAAGATAAAGAGGTGTAATAGTAAAGTGTTACCCTAAAAAGGTTATGTCAGGTCACTGTTACCTCCAGTAGATGGTGCCCTTAGCTTAACAACTGATTTCTCAACTGACACACGTTTTTAATGGTTGTTGTGGCATACAGACTTTCTCTTGAAAGTCAAATGGTAAGTTATTCAACTTTGTTATTGCTACTGATTCCTTCAGTTGGCCTTAAATATACATATAAAGTAAGTGAGGTTATTATTTGTGAGAAAGAAATTAGTTGCTACATATCTCTTGATCTATCTGGATATTCTTCTTTAAAATGAATGACTAGCTTCTGCTTTAGAGCAATGTTTCCCAGAGTATAAGTTATGTACTACTGATGATGCATAAGGGACATTTTTTATTTTAAAAGTTATATATTTTATGCGTGTTAGGCAAAAGATAATCAGCCCACCTGACCTTTCATTTAACCAATAAAGGTTAGGTTGAAGCTAAGTTTTAGAAAGATGGTTGATTCAAAGTTAATTTAAATTTAAATTAATTTAAATTGTAGTGGTACACAGGAGGCAAAAAAGCATGACATTATAACCACGTGAATGACTGAGAAGTACTGCCTTTAGCTATTTAATTACCAAATATTTATTGAGCCCCTATTATGTAATTGACACTCTGCAGGGCTTTAGAAGATAGAAAGATGAAGACTCAGCCCTACCTTAAAAACTTTCCAGGCTAAGTGTATTAATGTCTCTAAGAGATAATCAAAAGTCTATTTTATGGAAAAACTTATTTTCAGGTCTTTTATGTTTCATGGTGTAATATACCATGTGAGACTAGTATCTTATACATCAACCATTTAAAGTTTTTTGAAAGATCAGGACATTTCATTTAAATTATCCTATTTCCTATATAACATAACATAATAAGAGATCTTACTCTCTTTTTAGGTGGTTCAGTTCAATCGTTTACCTTTGGTGGTGAGTTTCATTGCCAGCAGCAATGCCAATACAGGTGTGTTTCAATTACCTTAAATATAATTTTTAATTCTTTATAATGCCATATCTGAATAGTCTGATATGATAGGAATGGGAAGTTTAGAGTAAGAAAACCTGAACTCATGGCCCAGCTATGCCATCTATTCCTTGATTTCTGAAAGTGTAATTTCCCTGAATTCTGTTTTCCATATCTGCGTGATGGAGATAATATCTGCTTTCTCCATCTTATGGGATTATTTTTTAGTTCAAATGAGACAGTGTATAGGTCAGTGATTGTTTAAGGTAGAAAGGAAAATTAAATTATCTTCATTTCTTGAATGTGGTATCTTTGTAACATTATAGCAGTTTAAGAAAACAAAAAGAGAATAGAAAAGATAACCAAGCAAAACACATAAAAATAATCAAGGATGAGTTCAATCACGTATAGACTAGAATTTTTAAAATCTTGAACCGTAGTGGGCAAGATGAATCTGATTGAGAATTTAAAGATGAGTAGGATAAACATATTTGTATTTTTGAGAGTTGAGGAATTTGAGGACACCAGGAAGCTGTACTTTCTAAGGATAGTAGGATCTCACCATACCTAGTAACCTTCTCTGCTTATGTATGTGTAAAATAATGACAGTATTCAATTGAATTGTAGTTTGTTTTGTTTTGTTTAGTTTTGAACTCTCTTTTGGTTAAAGTGGAATTTTTTAAGATTTGTCTCCTTCAGATTTAACTGCTGTTTAGAACTGTCATACATTCCTCTTCTGTTTTTTGATTTCCAAAGCCAGTTCTGTTTCTAGGTGTGTCACTGAAGCCTATCTTTAGATCCTCATCCTTAAAATGAGAGGTTTAGATTTGATGGTCTGCTAGGTCTCTTCCATTACTAAATGTTTTGAAGCTGTCAAATACTATATATGAAAACAGTTTGTAAATTGCATAGGATAGTTATGTCAAAATTTTAAGTATATTAAACCTCAGTTGTGATCAAACACTATCGCATTATAAAGTCATCTGCTGTTACAAATTATGATAATGTGCAGAGTTATATCTCTATTACTTAGAACAGTTCCTTGAGAACCCCAGCTGCTTTTAATGCTCTGTGAGATGGTGGAAGATCTTTGAGCATAGAACAAGCAGTATTTAAAATATCTAGCCTTCTACTCTGGTAAACTAAGGAGAAGCTAGATATGCAAATTTCCAGACTAGCTTGTGTCTTTTCAAACATGGAAGTGTATGTTTTATACTCCTACCAAGTGTCTTTAACATTTTTTTTTCTTTTGAAATACGCTTATGCCTTAGCTTTATTTAATTTATTATAATAAATACCTGATTATTCCTTTACTATCTACCTATCTTTTGATAAAGTTGATTAAAATTGGCTCAGGAAAAAAGTGTACCTTTTTTAGTAAAAATCATGTATATTATTCCTGAATTAGATTTTAAATAATAAGGTATAAATTAACATTTTCCTTTCAAAACTAGCAAAATTATAGCATATATAGAATTCATTTTATATCTTCTAATGAATATAAATATTTTCATTTATTTAGTAATAGATGATGAAAATAAACTTCATAATGAATACAGATTTTTTTGGTTACTTTATTTAGAATTACAATATTTTCTTTTAGTTATGGGGAAAAAACTATGTCTCATCCACTTTTCAGTAACTAATTTTGATAAGCATTTTTCTAATATTCAAAATTTTTATCTCTTTGTTTTAGGACTAATTGTCAGCCTAGAAAAGGAACTTGCTCCATTATTTGAAGAATTGAGACAAGTTGTGGAAGTTTCTTAATCTGGCAGTGGTTTCAAGGTGTATCTTATCTTCATTACAACAGACACAGTATCAATCCAGCAATCTTTACACCGCAACAATACCTGCGTCCATGTGCTCGAGAAAGGGCCCCCTTTGCCAGCTTACACTGAAGACAGAGCCTATAGATAGACTTTATGGACAGATTGATTGTTATCTTTTCTTGTGTGGAGTCTTTTCTTAGTGAGATCTGGGGATACCACAGAAGCTGTTCACTCTATCCCAGCTCCCATGGAGTTAGTCCAGTCACCAAATATGCATGAGAGTCTATTCGGTGGGTCAGAATCAAAATGGTACTTTGATCCACTTGAGCCGTGAGGTGCTCCCTGTTGTACAGTACGCCAGGCCTGCAGAGTGCAGCAGACTTTTTATTGTGAATAATGAGTACATATTTTTCTTCATATTGTTTTCTCTGCATTGAGTGTGAGGAAGATAAAACGGCTTAGTAAAAGTAATAAAACCAGTACAATCACTAACTTTCCTTTGTGTATATTGTTTTGCAGTATAGGCGAGTAGTGCTGATTGATTCGCTTCTTCTCAGAGGGTGCTGCTCTTTAATGGAAATGAAGATGATAGCTAATGGTTTTTTCTTCCACTCCGCTTTCCATAACCAATCAGTGTTTTTTAATGTTTGTGTGTTCTTTATAAAATTTAGATATGATTCATTATTGAATTCTGTTTCCAATATTGGTATGTATGTAAACATGATAGTATAGCCATTTTTTTCATACGTGAGTATAAGTGAAATAGTATTTTTTAAAAGTACAGTTTGAGCACTGTATAGGTTTTTTCCCCCAGACCAGTTTCAAAAGTTTAAAGACTATAATTAACTTAATTCACTCTTTCAACCACATGAGTAAGCAGTGAATGTTTCTTGTCTGGTTTGGAGACCGTTTTACCTAGCATAAACTGTCAGTTGGAAAATAAGTCTTGTCCATGAGCTTAATTTAATCTCTGTGAAATTGGTATTGCAGTTTAGCATGTGCTTATTTTCAAGAATGCAGTCCATCATTCATGGTTAATTTCTTCCGAGGTTCTTTGACAATCAGAGTTTGCCAGTGGTACCTGGCATAGAGCATGTGCCATTCATCCGAGCTACCACACTGCAGAATTCTAAGGAGTGCAGTTTACATCATATTTCTGTGCTCCAGGGTGCATTTTGCATGGCGTGTGTGTGACAGCAGCTTCTGGAGTTGTGCGGTGAGGTGGTCGGCCAGGCACTGTGCTTGTTTGCAGCCTTTAGTAATATTAAAGGATTGGAAACCATCTAAGTATCCATCATAAAGTGACCTTTGTGTCTGTTTTCCTTAACAATGCCAGTTTATACCTGCTGTTCTTTGTGTGTTATTAGTGCTCCCTTCAGCTATCCAATGTCCTACTTTAGATAAGAAATGAGATGTTCACTCTAATCACAGAGGATTAGATAAAGAAATTTCTACATTTGCCTAGTGGAAATAAAGAATCACTAAGACTTTAGATACTGAAATGGAAAGATCAAAACAGTGTCCAGTGAAAACAGCATGGTGTGTGACTGTGTGATGTGCTACAGTTTATGTATAGGAAGGAACAATATATGCGTATGTTTGTATTTGCTTGTATGTTATAGATACCTCTGCAGATATACAGAACCTGGTAACATTGGTGGCCTCTGTAGAGTGGAACTAGGTACCTGGGGGACAGAGAGCTCAAAAGTGCACCTTTTTACTGTAAACTTCATTGTACTTTTTGAATTTTTAAGTATTCAAAAATAATTTAAGTAACTTTAAAAATAAAAATAAAAACAAATAAAATGTTTCAAGCAGCAAAATTGATAATAAGGTGGTGATGAGGTATTTGGGGAAGAAAGTTTTATCATTTGGAGTTTGCTAAAGAAACGACCAGTAGGATATATATGGATTAGATTTATTTCAAGGAACTTGTTCATGTGGTTTTTGGAAATTGGCAAGTCCAAAATCTGTAGAGCAGGCCAGGAGGCTGAAAAATCTCAGGCAGGAGCTGAAGCTGCAGTCTTCAGGCAGAATTTCTTCCCCATGGAAGCCTGTTTGCCCTTAAGGCCTTTCAGCTGATTAGGTGAGGCTCACCCGTATCATTGAGGATAACCTCTTTTATTTAAATTCAGGGAATTGTAGATGTTATTAAGCACATCTATGAAATACCCTCATACCCACATCAAGATTCATGTTTGATCGAGTAACTGGGTGCTTCGTCAAGTTAACACATAAATTTCACCTTTGCAGTCTACCCTTGTAGCTTGGCACCTGTACCCATCTTCTTAAACCATGTTTACTCTCCAAATAAAGACTGTAACCAAGTCGTACTTCTGCTTAACGTGATAAAACTATCCTGCATACACCTGAGAACATGTTAACCTTTTCCCCAGAAGAGATGCAAAGTCCTTGGGTGATGTTCACATTTCTCATTGATACACTGTGGCTTACATACTGTGATAGAAAGTTGACCATTTTTAAGACACCTTATGTTAGATGATGGGATAAGAGAGGAAAAAGACACTTGCTTTCTTGTATGGACACACGTTTATAACAAAATAAGGAGGAAATGTAACAATCACAGTTCTTGTTTCTCCAACTGGGGTGTGGTGGAAGCTGGTGTTTAAAACACAGTGTGACCAGGAAGAGTTTGGCAAAAATACGGGTTTGCTGCATGCGACCTGAAGTAGTAGTGGAGGAGGGAGGGAGGAGTGATACTCATTCTGTGATAATTCTCTTGCTCTCTGCCTGAAACCGGGACTCAGCATAACTCCCTGACCTGCACTCCCAGCGTGTTTTAAGAGGTCCAGATCAAAGAGCCCACCCTCTGGAGTGCCACATGGCTGGGAAGAGAGGGCTCTGGCCTACCGAGTGTTCTTAGGACCAGTGGCTCTGGAATAGGGGGCAGGTTTCCCCCAGAGGTGGTAAGAGCCTTCCCCACCATGGGGGAACACCCCTTATCTGGAGGGAGCAGTGCGTCAAAGGGGCAAGTTTTCCCTGGGAGGGATTCTGAGCATGACTGCTAATACTTTGGCTGTCTTGAGGTACTCCTTTGGTGATAAGCACATACTGTTAGTGGCAGAGCTAAATACAGATAGCTATTCTCCCAAACAGCCCCCGCCTCCGATCTGGATCTGCCATTGGCTTAAAACATCCTCACTCATCTTAGGGCCCTTCCCTGAGCTCTCTCGCGAGGTGAAATCATGACCACCTTTCGGGTTGCTGAGAGCAGGTGAAGCATCTGGGGTGGCACTAATTACATGGTGAGTAAATGTTTAATTGCCCTTTTCATGTCAAAAACCCTTCAAAATATGGCTTTATCCCCGTTCAGCACACACCATCATAGCTCTGTGTGCTTCCCCTGCAGTATTTATCTTCTTTACTTCTATACATGATCATGTATGTATTTATTATCTTTTCCATATTCAATTAGAAACTCCCTGAGGACGAGGACTATTTCTTAAACTCTGAATCCTCCCATCCTTTGTAGCTCAGAGTCGAACCCAAGTGGGTCCTTCATTGCTATATATGATATTAATCACTTGTATTTCTTTTAAATTTTAAATATTAAAAAACATAATTTAATAGCAAAATACAGGCACAGCAAAGTCATGTCTTTTTAATAAACATAACCACAGAATATAAATAAACATGACATTGTACAAAAAGTCAAAACAATATTACCTACACAAATACCCTTTGTTCTAAGAAAACAATACATGAAACTGTACATTTCAGTGAGGATTTCTAACTCCTGACTTTGCAAACTGAACACATTTTAACTTGACATTTGGTTTATCCCATGTGATACAAACAAGACATTAAAAGCCTTGTTGAAACATCCAAAAATGTAATTTCTGTCCTAGCTGTTTAAATAACAGAGGAAACTTTTTGAACGAGGATCGCAAGAGCAGTCATAGCTTTACATCATGATCATTTTATTTGGGTTCTTCCTCCACTTTACTCTCCCTTCAAAAGTCAATCTTAAAAAACAAAACAAAACAAAAAACCCACCATTAATAAAGATAATGGAGGGGTTAGAATCTACTTATGAGCTCTGGATGCTGGTATCTCATCCCCCTACTTCAGTCCCCTCATTCTAGTTTGAAAACACGGTGTAAGAAACGCATCATTACACTTCACGTGTGGACTTAGTGTTGCTCCCTCAGTTGGCAACAGAAGGTGCTCTTGAAATAAGGCGTAGGGCGCTTGGCCATCGTTGCCAAGCAAGGTGTGTCTTATTCCTCTTGGGTCAGTACCTAGCACCCACTCTGAGGAAGGGATTGTTAACAACACGCTCTCCTGGAGAAGTCTCTTTCAGTCTGTTAGGGAAACGCTGGATGAAGATAACTTAGTGCTTAAGAGTAACGTGCTCTGTTATTGTTACAGTTTTAATAATTATTGTCATATTATTCTAATACATGATATAGTAATGATCACAATAATTATTAAACTAAAAGTTATCTATTACTTTATCACCCTTCCTCAACTGATGATTTCTCACTCTTTAAAACATTTCCCCCAAAATGACTAAAAGATGTTTTTCTAGATTGTACCTTCCTTTATCTTTGTCATCTTACCTAGTCGCCCAGAGGACGTTAAGTTCTCACAGGCTTATCATTACAAGGGAAGAAGAATATCTGTAGAGCCTTTTGCAAAGGGAAAATTAACACTGCAAACCTTTTCCATTTTAGTTTCAGAAATTGTTTTGTTTCTTATATAAAGAGGGGAATGAAAACAAAACCAACACCGCTCTTTGTCCCCAGTCTTGGGGGTTGCTCTCTCAGCACACTTTCAGAAGAAGCGGTCTCAGCCTCGGGGCACACAAACAGCTCTTTCCTTCCCGGGGAAGCGCACAACCTGGATGTCAGAGGAGCTGACCAGGGCGCCGAGTGGGGCCCCGGGCAGCTAACATTGGCCAGCTCGGGGAGCATGATGAGGGAAAGCAAAACGCCTTCATCTCCCACTGCGCGTCCTGAGAGTGAGCCCCCGGGCGCGGCGCCGGGTGCCTCAGCATCCCGCAGGACCATGATGCGTCCGCATCCTCAGGGAGACGCGTCTTGACTGGCAGCAGTTTTCTGTGAGTCCGCAAATGTGGCGTGTCCTGAAATGTCCGACTCTGCATCTGCTTTTGATTTGTTTCTATAGAAAAATCCTTAGTCAGCTTTCAGCTGAAGAAGCCTGCTGTGGCTCACAGCCTCGGGAACATTCCACCCTGCTCCTGGGTCAGGGCAGCCCTCACGGAGGAAGGTCTGCCTATTTAAAGATGAATGACTGAGATCGGATTGTGCCTTCCCTTTGGTCGAGCTGTTTTCTTATTTGAGACTGTAAGAGAGCACACCCACGTGGATTTATTGTTGAACAACTTTAAGATAACCAACATTTTATAAATATTACATAAGAATTGCTGATTAGTAAGAAAACCATGCACCTATAAATTAATTATCATGTCTCCTCCTCCCCCAAGTTCTACCCTGACTTTTTTTTTTCTCCGGAGAAGTACTGTAAAGGGGTTGCCAAAACCTGCACAAATTGGGAACTGGCCTAATACTTTTAGTAATCCATAAAGTGCAATACTATTCAGTGAATCAGAATGAAGATACAGATCTAAATTAATTGATACAGAAATATGTTTATTATATATTAAGTCAAGTGAGCAGGTAAAGAACACTAGAGAATGATTAAATTTTGAGTTGAATGTTTATCTGCACAGGGAGAAGTCTGAAAGTACGTGCATTTGATATATTTTTACTTTATGTACACTGGACACTAAGCTAAGTTTCTCTGGCAAGCCTCCTTCTCTGACAATTTAAAAGGATCTTCTACTATAGAAATATGTCAGCTTCCCTCTGTCGGACCTTCTAGTCCCACAAGTCCCTCTCCAGGCAAAACTGGAGCAGCCAAACACTTAGGGGAAAAGTGATAGACACCAGGGCATGAGGCCAGGCTGGAGCGGCAACCCCAGTGCCGCTCTGTTCTCTTTCTTTTATTCTGTCTCCATCCCTTCCCTGTCCCAGAAGAATGAACAAACTATTCCGCAAGCCTGCAAGGAGACATCCCATTGGTTCTCAGGGGTCATCTGATTCTTTCAACAGAAAAATGTTTGAAATTATCCACATGTTATTTCTGAGCATCAGACATCCAGAGACGGGCAGAACTCACCAACTTCCAGCGTAATATCTTGATCCACTCATCAGCCTCTACTCCTGTCTTTGCACAGAGATAAAATGTCCTGAATGGAAATACTAAGCTGATAAGACAAAAGGAAGAACATAAGAGACTCCAGATGGTTGG